ATATGTAATAAAAGTTTTTATTTTGATCAGAAATATATATAATGTCATTTAGTCTTGGATTTTTGGCTTTCAATTTTTCTATATGACTGAATTGTTTATTTATTTGTTTCTGAACGATCTCATTAAAATTTAAATCTACGGAAACAAACAATGCTAAATTTTGTGAAAATGATGTAATCTTTTCATTTGTTTCTTTTATATTATCATTTGTTATTAATATAGTTTCGGATTTAGATAAGAACTGTGAATAAGTGTCATTATTTTCTTTACTCATTTTGTTTATTTGTAAGGTGGTTGTTGCCGGGTTTTTGTTTTCTTCGCAAATATTTGTTTCAGATATGGTTAAAGGAGGACGACTTAAACAATCAGCATTTTGATTTAATTTACCTGGTTTATAAATAATTTCATAGCTATATTCTTCTAATGCTAATCTCCACCTAACGAGTCTTGATCCGGGATCTTTTACATTAAATAGCCATGTGAGTGGTTTATGATCCGTATAAATGAAAAATTTATTTCCGTACAAATATGGTCTAAAGTGTTTAACACTCCATACAATTGCAAGTAATTCTTTTTCTGTTGTGCTATAGTTTGATTCCGCTTTGTTCAAGGTACGACTAGCATAAGCAATAGGTAAATCATCTGGTACTTTACCTTGAGAAAGTATGGACCCTATTGCATAATTACTAGCATCCGTTGTTAAGACAAAGGGTTTGGTAAAATCTGGATACTGAAGTATTGGTTCTGAACAAAGTATTGATTTCAGGTTCTCAAATGACTGTTGTTGAATGCTTGTCCAATTAAATTCAACATTTTTCCTCAGCAGTTTTGTTAAAGGTTGTGTTAAAGCACTGAAATTTTTTATAAAGCGTCTATAATAACCAGTGAGACCCAAAAAGCTCTTAATATCTTTTTGTGTTCTGGGTATAGGAAAATCTGTAACAGCACATACCTTTTTTTCGTCCGGTTTGACACCAAATTCAGTTATTAAATGTCCTAAATACATTACTTCGCGACGAAAAAATTCGCACTTATCTGGTTGTATTTTTAAGTTGAATGTAGACAATTTTTCGAATACTTCTTTTAATCTTTTATTATGATTTTCTAATGTATCGGCATGAATGACTATATCGTCGAGATAGACAAAACATCTGTAATTTTGTATTCCTGAGAGGACAGTATTCATTAGCCTTTGAAAAATACTGGGAGCATTTTTTAATCCAAATGGCATTCGTGAATATTGATAATGTCCAGACGGAGTTGAGAAAGCAGTCTTTGGAGAATCCTCAGGATCCATTTTGATCTGGTGAAATCCTGATGTTAAATCTATTGTTGAAAAATATTTTGAATGACCCAATTGGTCTAATATATCGACTATATTCGGAAGTGGAAATGAATCTCCTATAGTAATATCATTTAGTCGTCGATAGTCTATAACAATTCGCCATTTCTTCTTTGCTGAAGCATCGGCCTTTTTTGGCACAACCCAAAGGGGCGAATTCCATGGCGAAGTTGATTCTTCGATAATACCTTGATCTAGCATACCTTTTATTTGAGTTTCGACTTCATGTTTGTGTACTTCAGGATACCTGTATGATTTAGTGCTAATAGGTACATTAGAATTTAAAGGAATTTTGCAAGTTATGGCATTTGTACTGGTAAGTTGATCTCCTTCCAGATAAAAGATATGATTGTACTCCTTGCAAATAGAAATTAAAGATGATTTTTCTTCACTATTTAAATGATCTGTTCTCAAGGCATTTTTTAATTTAGCAATTCTGTTAGAATTCGTATTATCTTTATAAGAAGACATTTTTCGTATATTTGCATTGTTTTGTAAATTTGGAATTTTTTCTATTGCTACTTGAATATCGTTTAATTCAACATCCGTTTCAGTAGTGTTTACGATTGAGGTTAAAAAGAAATCATTTTTTACTTTAACAACACTAGGACATAAAAATACACCTTTAAAGATTTCGCGTTCGGGACATAATCCTTCGCTTAATTCATTATTTATTACTTTAATTTGAACAATTGTTTCAGTTCTTGCGGATAGAATAGTTTTATTACTTCTTGAGTTAGAATTAGAGTTTTGATTTAGTATAAGATCGTCTGAACAGGATTTTTCTTCTGAACAAGATTTTGATTTATGATTTCGTGAAGAGTTACAAGTTTTATTTGTGCATATCTCAGTGGATTTTACACATTTTGGACTTGAATTTTCTTTGGATTTAGAGTTAGATTTAGATTGAATTGGATTGGATAGTAGTTCTTCACTACTTAAGGTTATTTGGATATCATTGGTTTCTAAATAAGAATGATCCTCTATGGATTTAGCATCATAAGGAAATATTTCATCGATATTAGAACTTGTCTCGATATTTTGATCTCTCAGAAATTCGTCATTGTCATTGTTTAATGGAAATTTTATATATTCAATTGGAATAGAACAATTTTTAAAGTTTAATTTATTTTCTTTATAATCAATTTGGCATTTATTTATTTCAAAAAAATCGCTACCTAATATACCGTCGAAATGAAGAGGAAAATCGTCTTCTACGACATAGAAAACATGAGTTTGGACAAAATCTTTTATCTTGAAATTTACGTTACAACTACATATAGTTTTATTTGGATTTAAGACATTTTTATCAATGCCTCGTAGAGTAATAGACTTAGAATAAATTTTTGGAATGTTTAGTATTTTTGAATATTTAATTAAAGAAATATCTGCGCCTGTATCGATTAGAAACTTGCAAGAGGATGGATTAGAATTATTTACTAAGGGTAAATCTACATAGGAAGTGACTGAGAAGTTGATGGTTGTGATACGGCCTGAACTGAACGAACTCCTCGAGAATCGACCGTTGGTTGTCGAGGATTCTGGAAGTTTAAAGAATTTGTTGGATTTTTGTTTTTATTGTTAAATTCGCGTTTTCTACATTCTTCTATAACGTGACCTGGTTTTTTGCAGTATCTGCAAAAACGTTGGGAAGTGTTGGTATTTTCTTTTCTTAAGTTTGGAGGAAAATCAGAATTGGAATTTGAATTTGAAGGTTTATAATTTTGATTTTGAGAATTTGACCTTTGAAGATTTGAATTAGGATATTTTGGGTTTTGAAAACTAGAATTTTGAAGATGTCTAACATTTCTATCTGAATTGTTTTTATATCGACAGTTATTTGAGGAATGGTTATTTCGTTTGCAAATATTACAGAATGGTCTGAAAATTTCTTGTCTTGATAACTGTTCTTGTTCTTCGGCAATTGCTATAGCAACAGCTCTTTCTAAGGAATCTGGATTTCGGGCTTTGATTAAAATAGAGAGGTCTTTGTTTAATCCTCTAATAAAGACATTTAGTGCTTGAGTTTTTAAGAGTTTAGTACATGCATTTCTTGCATCTGGAGATAAGTCTGGATCAAGTGTATTTATTAATTTTATATAGCAATTTTCAACTTTATTTGCAAATGACATTACATTTTCACTGGGCATCTGACGTAAGGAATGTAATTCCAATTGCCACTGACCTTCAGTTCGGCGTTCAGAATAAGCATCTAATAAGAAGTCTTTTAAATCTTTCCATTCGTCAAATGTTCTGTTTCTAGTTATGGCCCTAGCTTTATCGGTTAATTTAGTTTCTATAATGGCTAATAAGATGGGTTTGGATTGCGGATTTACTAAATTGTATGCTTTATCACAATTGTCTATGAATTCGTATAATTTTGATTTTGTACCATCAAATCTAATGAGAAGTTTTTCAGCTATTTCAATTGATACTGACATTTTATTTGAATTAGAAGTAGAAGAATTTGAAAGAGAATTTGAGTCGGGAGAAGGTATTTGTTCGTCAAATAAGTTACTTATATCAGGATATAAAGTAGACATACGTTTACAAGATTTTTAAAATATGAGACAGAATTTAAGATAGAATGTACTTACAAGTAGAATATTGTTGTTGGTCGCATAGTCTATTATTCCACGGGTTCACCTCTACTTCCGATGGAACTACAATTGGGTTATGACTGGAACTGGATTTCGAACTGGATGTACTGGACCCCAATGTAATTAGTTGTAGTGGCGATTTTTCCACACTGACAGTTTTTTTTGAATGATTCCTCGAAGGAAACAAGTCAATTCAAAAATTCCTCAGCTCTCCTTCTATCAGCAATCAGAGGAACTCTGCTACTAATATCCCACACTTCTGACACCAAATTTTGTTATGGAATACTATGCGTTTATTTCTTCTCCGGACTAACTCTTTGTTTTGGAATTAAACAGAATATATTGACATGTATAAATTTATTATATTAGAGGATGAAAATTACACTGCCTGTTATTTCTTAAAACTATGAATTTATAAGTTCTGTTATCTACAATTATTTAACGATGTTTCTGGATGGATTTGAGTACAAGAGATTGGACTCAAATATTAATATTAAAATAGCAAATACGGATAGCTTATCGAACAAAGAAATAAGAGAAATAAATTATTATTATTCCATAGATACGAAGTATTAGGCGAATAAACTAGCGAAACTTATTTATTCTAAATAGGAAAATATTTATGAAGAGTATTGATTCTGATTTCTAACAGCAAATAATTATTAGTGATTATACATGAGAACTTTTCATAATTGTAAATAACATATACCAGGTGACTAAAAACTATATAGAAATACATAGATACTTTAATTATCTTACAGGTGAGTAGGTAGGTACATTACAATTATTTTCTATCTACTGAAGACACTATATTTGTGAACCCTCTTTACATAACTACAAAGTTTTACCCTAATAAGTATGTTATCTTAATATGAAGCCATGCAACTGATTGTAAAGCTCATATAAATCACAATGATTTAAAAAATATAATCATATACATGCAATGTGATTTACCCGCCTTATACCATTTAGTAAAATACAATGTTCATGTGATATACAAATGCAATCTGCTATTACCATTTAGTAAAGTATAGTGTACATGGAATATGAATAATAAAATGTATGTCATATTTTTGGTACTTGTAGCATTGGCTAAAGTTAATTCGCTAAATACTTCATCGATAGAAAAAGATCCTTTAACAGGTTGCCTTCATGAGATTGTAGAACACTATAGCTACCACACACATATTTTTGTAACAAGCGCAAACTTTTCTGGAAATGTAATTCCTAAATTTTTGAAAATAATAATCAGCTTTAACAATTTGTACTTATTAAATTCCATCCGTCACACACCCAACTTATTTACGATAACTTATGACTCCATGGAGGAACTAAATAATACATTTCTCACAATATATACAGCAAGAACATATTTCAAACCAATTTTATCTAACTTCATTGTTATTACTACAAACTCCAAAGATTTGCATCAAATAACGCAGTTGTTGTGGAAGTACAGTTTCTTCAAGAGTTTGGTTCTACTACATAATAATTTAATTGTAGAATTATACGTTATTGATTACAAAAATAGTAACTGTGGGAAAATCATAAAATATAAGAAAATTAACGAATGCACAGGCAAGAAGTTCAAACGTGAATTAAAACCGATCAAACCAAATATGAAAGAAAGTTTTAATCAATGTTCCATGACTGTGGGAATTTTACATGGGCCCCCGATGATTTTACATATTAACGAATCCTACCCAGGAATAATACCAGAACTATTAAATGCAGTTAGTTCTGCAAGTGGTTTTATATTTAATTATGATGAAGACGATTGTTACACGGATGCTCTTAAAGACTATAGATTTGATTGCATTTTGGAGCACTTTGATACTGGCAAAATAGATCTTGTGCAATACGTAAATTTCTTTTTGACACATAAACTGCTGTTTGTCACTATGTTGTAAGGATGCTTTTATTGGTTTATGCACCACCAGATAACTAAAGATTTCTAATTGTTATAACAACTTCTTCGTGCAGCCTCCTCTAAAAATTTTGATAATAGTCGTGGCAATTAGATAATCATCATCGTAATAATTGGCTCGACAATTCATTGTGAAGCTTGGTCTACTTGCATTGAAATCGCCATTCAATTTTCTACGTGATTGTCCTCTACTTCTTCTACTTTCGGGGTTGAAAATGTGAATATCTTCGTGTAATCATTATCTGAGAACTTGTGTGAAATGTATGTAGCTTATCTTAGTCCCTACACCCAATCTAAAGTTCTATCTTCGACGCATAAACCATTTTTATTTACGGTCCTAAAAATCTTTCGAAGTAATTTTGTCTCAAAGATACCAGGCAGATGTCGCTATTTGCGTCCATTCGAAGCCATATTAGAGTTGCTTCCTAAGACAGAAGAGATTTATTTTCACGTTCAGAGCTACTATGAATTGCCGTTCTGATGAGGCCTATTAGGCCGAAATACGGTAAGCGGATATTTCACTATACGTGAAATTAAATCTTATCTGTCTTTTCCTTTTTATTAAGGGTTTAGTTTTGGACTGGTATGAAAGTTTGTTGCCTGACGATTTTCGCGAATTAAATTTTGACAGTTAAATCACGAGACGTTAGTCGAGTGGTTTTGTCAAAAGTTCATCAGCGAAAATTGCCAAAAGGCAACAAACTTGAATAAAACCAGAAGAAAAGATTGCCGGTAAATAATTTTCTCTCGAATGATATTCAGAAGACTATTTCAGGAGACAATTACTGCACCGTATCAACGAAACATAATCTTTTTTTTTTTTTCCTTACATGACGCATCAACCACGCATGGTTATTAGCCTGTATGGATTGTGACCAAAGTTAGAACTTACTACTACTAAGAATTTCCACAGTTTTCACTGTCTTCCTTCACTCAACCGTTTTCTCCAATTTTCCCTGTCATTCCAGTCTCCATCTCGCAGGGTTCTTTTCTCCATAGCCTCGTCGATTTCGTCTCTGAATGACCTTCGGAGTCTTCCTCTCTTTCTTCTTCCGATCGGGCTCCATTCTGTGATTTTGTTTATCCAGCGTCCTCTGTCCGCTCTTCTGACGTGGCCTTACCAGGATAGTCTCTTCTCCTCTATATAGTCGATTATGTCTGATTGTACTCCCATTCTCCGCTTAATCTCTGCGTTTTCAATTCTGTCTCTTTTTGTAAGTCTATAGCTTCTTCTCAGGAACTCCATTTCTACTGCTCTTATTCTACCTCTATTTCTCTTGTTTATTGTCCAGTTTTCGGACCCATATGTCAGGATACTTCTTGTTAGGGTATTATATATTCTCTTTTTTGTCTTTATCGTAATGTTCTTATCCCACAGCACTGAATTTAGTTGTCTTATACAGTTTCTTGTTTGTCTTAGTCTGTTGTTTATATCTTCTTCTGTTGTTCCCTGGTTCGATATTATGGTTCCTAAATACTTGAATTTATCTGTTCCATTTACTTGTCTTCCCTCGTCTATCTCTAGGTTTCTCATATCCTTGTTTTCTGTTGTTAGGTATTCGGTTTTCTCTAAGTTTATTTCCATTCCGTTGTTTTTATATCCTTCTTCTAGTTTTCTGAGCATAAAGCTAAGATCTTCTTCATCTTGTGCGATGACTACTTGATCATCGGCAAAACTTAAGGTGTATAGGTATTCGTCTCTTACTGGTATGCCCATTCCTTCGCACTTTCTCCTCCATGGTTTGAGTGTCTTTTCCAAGAATATTTTAAACAGAGTAGGGGACGTAGCACAGTCCTTTTGTCGTCTTAAATGGATTGCAGGCTTTATTTCCACATTTAATAGCTACTTTGTTTTCTTTGTACAGTGCTTTAGCTGCTTTTATTAGTGTTTGTCGGATTCCGAGATCATTCATAGCTTCCCATAATTTGACTCTAGGTATTGAGTCGTATGCTTTCTTTAGATCAACAAACGCCAGATGGACCGGTCTACCTTTTGCCATTTTCTTCTCTATCAGTTGTTCTAATGTGTACGTATGATCTAGGCATGATTTTCCTACTGTGAACCCTGCTTGGTCTTCTCCAATTTTTCCTATTATTTCAGTTTCTAGTTTTTCCTTGATAATTTTCCCGTAAAATCTACCTACCGACGATATTATACTAATTCCTCTGTAGTTTTCACATTTTTTCCTGTTTCCTTTCTTATGTATGGATGTGATGTATGCTTGTATCCATTCCGCAGATATTTCCTCTCCATTTAGTCCTCTTTCGAAGATATATCTGTGAAAGAATCGATTTTTATGCCGTACTCCGTAAAATATTTTTTTAACATTTTTGCTGCAATATTTCATTATAGTCTTCGCCATTGCCTTTTTTCATGTTAAAAGCATAATCCTTGAGAAGTTTTGCTAGTCTCGTTATGGTAGTACATCTTTCAAGCGTAAAATTTCTCATTTGAATGAACTCCGAAAATTGGGTCCAAATAGAACTTCTGGTCCTCGGCGTGTTCAAAGGGACATTATTCAAACTTCGTTAGACCACTGCATAGTAAAATTACCACGACACTGACCCAAACTGCCCGTAGCCGCGTCGGAAGAGTTGATGGAGCGGGGGTTAAGTACATGTGGTGCATCAGCTTCCGATCGTGCTTTAGACCGTGTTGATTTACCAACAATATACGGGACTACACGCGTCGACCATAAATAGACAGTTTGGCCCTATACCTGGGATGGTAAACCATAAATATTCAGGAGAAAAATGGATTCCATTTTGCGTTTGTTCTCGTCTTTAGATTTTGTGTTTTTCTATTATGTATTTTTTATTTCTGTTTGCCAATAAAGAACGCCGCTCCACATTCTATGAGATGCAGGCTTTTATGGAGAGAGTTCTTATTTCTTTAATGGTATTGTGAGTTTTGCGTAATTTTTTAAGTTATATTTATTACCATGGCTTCCTAGGTCTCCTATTATTTTTATAAAGTTAGTTTTTTGTTCACAGAATATTTATTTAGTGACAACCAGGGATATCCCGTGGTTTATTCGAGGTATGCCTTCTTTAGATATATCCATACATCTCAATTTAGGTTATGATTTTTTAATTGCGACTATATTGCCATATCCCAACACTTTCCTATTCTTTTGAAGGGTTTTGTAAGATATGCTTTCCCCCACATACATATACGTAAAAGAACTATATACTTTTCAATTAAAAAAGACACAATTAAATTTATTATTCAATAATTTTCAGATATAGCCATATAGTTATGATAATACCTAAACCTGAGAAAATACCGTATTGGAAAACCAATATATTGGTGTTCCAATTACCAGTGTGGATCTGTATATTGGCCATTATTCCAGTATTATCTGTCATAGTTTTTAGATATGCCCATTTTAGAAAAAGTACAGATAAAAAGAATTTTGGGTCATCTTTGGTCAATAATATTTTGATTATTGTTGGACTTAACCTGAACGTAGCGGCAAATAAGTTACCGAAATCTTGGAATTTGAGAATTTTACTTGGTAAGTATAAGAAAATAAACTAAAAAAGTATTCATTATTAGTATCTAGGAGGTAACTGGAGGTGAGAAATGGAAGTGGGGGCGTTTTTGTCCTGGACAAACTTTTCTATAGTTAGTGTTGCCCAAAATCTGTCTTGGTCTTGTTTTTTTTTTCATCATCTTTCTATCTTTTTCATCTTGGAGGTTGCATTGGTTATATCCCCATGTAGTGTGATGGCTATTGAAGTCCCTGTGAATATTAATGAATGCGGGAATTACTCAAACTCCTCTGGTGGCCGTATTGCGTTTGGTGGTTTGTATCAAGAGAATTTCTTGTATTTGTTCTGCAGTAGTTATCAATCCCATATTGTGGATGATTAAGTGAGGCTACTGATCTATATACTGGCATTTAACCTCAATTTTTAAGTTGAAAGTCGTCAACAGTGTGTGTTTCCTGAACTGTGGCTATGTCAATATTGTTTTTTGCAAGAAGCTTATTAATGTATTCGCTCTTGCTTCGGCTAATGCTTGCAATGTATATTTAGCATACACGGATTGTTGGTCCGATTGTCAGATGGTTCTAAGAAGAGCCGTTTTTTGTTTGTTGTATGGGTGTTTGCAATATATTTGCCAGGAGATCTGTAATGTTAAGTTCGATGTTGCAGCTCATTTAGTTTACCAAGGATTACGAGGAGAGAGAGGAGAGACAGATTTACATCCCAGCGATTAGATATAAGTCATTGATATGTTTTAGTATTTTTTCAGGATAGATTAAATGGTTTTCTTTTATAACTTATTTTATTATGCCACTATACAGTTTATGCAGGTGGTTCTTCGATTTTCCAGCTAGCTTTCGCTCCGCCAAAAATGTGTGGGAAAATAGATTTAAATTTTTGCTTAGACTAGTTCCCTGCTTGTATCTCATTTATTCTTCTATGGGTAGTCCAATCTGAAAGAGCTTGTTAAGTAGGCCTAAATATCAGATCTGTTTTTTTTTTTTTCATAAGCCTTTTCATGGACATGGACATCAAAGTGAACGTATGGCTTGCGTGATGTTAATCACAGCTACGAACAATACATTTTAGGTTAAGTAGTTAGGTCTAAATATAACTTCATAATCGGAAATTCTGTTGTGTTCATCTAGGAACTATTTTCTAGAAGTTTTTTTAAAACCATTCTTCAAAAACGTTTGTTATATATGTCATCGATACCCCAATCTTGATAACTGAAAATAGAAAGAATAGGAAATTAGGTTCTGTATAATAACGTTAGTTTTAATTGAAATATAAATTACTCTGGAATTTTACCAAGGATATTTGTCTTTTTAGGTTTTTATATGTTTTTCTGCTTATTGGAACTGACATACCGGCAGACAAAAATAACAAGCTTCTCGACAATATCTATGCATGAAAAACGAATTAAAAGTATAGACGAGCTTGTAGATTCCGATATTCCAGTCAAAAGTTTTAGCAGCAGTGCGATGGTCCTACCTGACAACAGTCCTTTGTTGTCGAAAATCGAATATTTAACTGACTCAGGCTACGAAAATTTAACTCTTAGAGCTTCTGAAGAAAGGTTTGCAACTATATGGGGAGAAATTGGTTTCGTGTCTCAACCCTTTCTTTATGAACTAATGGATTATTTTAGTCTCTGCATGTATCAGTTGGGTTTTTATATGCCCGAAACTCACATTTTCTACGAACACTTTGAGTTGTCGATGCGGAGGGTTATACAATGTGGTTTTTTAGAAATGCTGTATGGAAAATACAAAAACTATTTCATGCTTAAATACAGACATGCTTATCCAAGTAAAGATTCGAATGTTAAAAAAGACTTAAAAGGTTGTATGTTTATGTTTATTGTATTGCTTGCTGGATATTCTGTATCATTATTAATATTTGGGATAGAACTACTTATGGCAAAAAAATGGAACTTACTTGCAAAAAAATAGACGGTTTTGGAATATAAAGTCAAATGGTTAATTTAGAAAATTTAGAATTAAAGAAAGAAAATATATTTAGAACATAATATTGCATTTTGTAGTGTTTGCTTTTTAAGTGCGTGTTTAAATAGATATTTTAAAAAAATTGCACATTTTGTTTGGAAATAAAAGTACAGCTGAATTAAAAATTATTTTTATTTATTATTTTGACCTATAATACATTTTGGAGACGGCTATCGCCTGTTCTCCTCGGTCAATCCTCGCGGTTCAAGGTATGCTCCTTCTCCAAACCTCTCGATTCCATTGCTCTTCTAATTCCTTCATTCCATGAGCTTCAAGATCTATCTCTTTTTCTTCTTCCAGGAGTTTCTATCTGTGAAGTTTATAATCCCATCGTTCGTCAGGCATTCTGAATAGGTGTCCAAACCATTTTAAACTTCTTCTTTCTATTGTCAATGACCGTTTCTGTAGCATTCATGTTATTTCTTATAGATTCATTGGTCTTCCTTTCCAGCCTTGATCTTATAGCACTTCTTCTCAAATAATCTCATAAGGAGTTCAGATATCCTACAATTTTACGTCCCTGATTAATTCGGTGTTTAATTTCGGTTTCTCCAAAGCCGTTCTTAGCAATGAGTGCTTTTAAATATTTAACTTTTTCCGGGAAGGCCTTGAGTTTCCTCCTCTGCCGAATCTTGTTTTCCTAGTTTCATGATCAGTAGATACAGAAAAGTTCAGCTTAGGTCAAGGAGTTAGACAAGGAGACAATATTTCACCAAAATTGTTCACAGCAGCTCTAGAGTCAATATTTAAGAGCACTCAATGGCAAGATATGGGCATCAATATAGATGGAGAAAGATTAAATCACCTATGATGTTGTATTAATCGCAGATAACTTACATGATACAGTTTCTATGATGCATTCGCTTAAAAGTCTGTCTGAAAGAGCAGGATTAAAGATAAACTTTGAGAAAACTAAACTTATAACAAATCTCGTAATGAGTGGAAATATAACTATTGAAAATAATGCCATACAACAAACAGACACTTACAAATATCTGGGACACGAAATCAAAATAAGCAGAGATAACAAAAGACATGAAATACAGAGGCGAATAGGCCTAACATGGACAGCAGTTGGTAAATTAAGCCAAAACCAATGTGTTTTGCCGGTACAAACTTATGGAACAGAGACTTTAACACTCACGCAAAAATCTGCGAATAAACTCAGAGTTACACAACGAGCCATGGAACGTGCAATGCTGAACGTGATCCTTCGAGACCACATAACAAACCAACAAATCAGGCAAAGATCAGGAGTTCAAGATGTCATCGAAAGAACCACGACGCTTAAGTGGAGGGGCAGGGCACTTAGCCAGAACACAAGATAGACGGTGGACAAGACGTATTATGGAATGGAGGCCCAGAAACTATAAAAGAAGCCGAGGACGACCACTGACTAGATGGACCGATGATATAAAACGTGTAGCGTGACTGGCTACAAGCGACCCAGTGTAGAGAACACTGGAAAGAACTGAGAGAGGCCTATGTTTAGCAGTGGACGCGATTGGCTGATTGATGATCAGTAGAGTGTTTGGTTGTATTGTTAGTCATGATGATTAACTAGGAATGCTCTATGTGCCTTTATTGCATTGGTTTCCCGTTGTCTTATGCATCTCCATGCCGTTGATCATGTCTGGTTCGTCCGCTTTTAGAAATGATTTTTTATTTTTAGGACAAGAGGGTGCCCTTCCACTTACCGACTCTTCACCCGAAGCAGTTGGTCAGTAGTTGGTCTGGGATTGCTTATACCGGCAATCACTCGGACGCCAGAGCCCCGTTTGTTATCTAGCAGAATGTACCGGCTGATCATGATCTAGATCATCTCACGGGCAGGTGAGGTTGACATTTGAATAGTAGAGGCTATATATTGCGCATCACTATCCCTTACATTCCATATAATTACTATATTCCATAAATATAGGCATAATATGATTGTGCGTCTTCTTCTTTAGGTACCGTCTCTTCTAAGGAGGTTGGTAATCATCACAGCCATTTTCACTTATCATTTCAGCTCTGAGTAAGTCGATGGAACTGCAATTATACCACTTTCTCAGATTGTTGAGCCAGGAGATGCGTCTTTTTCCAATACTTCGTTTTCCCTGTATATTTCCTGATTGTGCGTGTGCGTGTTTTATACTACACTATGTTTATGTAATTGTCATCAAAAAAGCATTGAAAAAATATAAAAGATAATCAAAAAATGGTATGTCAAATAACATTACCCAAATAATTCTCCATATGTATCGACGGAGCTGATTATGAATAAGCTATATTACAATCTTACAAATCACATTAATTTGGAAAATATAATCATGCATAAATGTAATATGTTAGGTTAGATTTAATATGAGTGGTCGTTTAACCCCTTTCACTCGACCTTTTAGGTCTATTGCAGCTCATCCCTAATATAATATGTTTTAATCAATCAATGTAATACCTAATACTAGGCACGGATTTAGTTTAGTTCTACGAAAATGCGAATTATATTTTTATTGCATTTAACATTTGCTGTACAAGTTAATTCGATAAATATTCTGTTGAAAGATGAAGATTTGTTAACAGACTGTCTTCAGCCGCTTGTAGATGACTACAATTACCACACACATATTTTTATAAAAAGTAAAAACTTCACTAGAAACTTGATTCCCAAGTTTTTGAAAGCAAATGTAGGCTGTAACAATTTGTATTTATTGAACCTTTTTCCTTATACACCAAACTTATTTACGATCACTTATGACTCTATCGATGAACTTAATAATACGTTTCTCGCAATAGATACAGCAAAACCACATTTTAATCTACTTTTGTCAGACTTCATTGTAGTTACCACCAATCCAGAAGAGTTACTTCAGATAACGCATTTGCTGTGGGAGTACAGATTTTACAGAAGTTTAATTCTACTACAAAATGATTCTATAGGAGAGCTATATGTTATTGATTACATAAATAGTAACTGTGGTAAAATAATAGGCTATAAGAAAATTAACGAATGCAAAAATAAAAAATACAAATATAAATTAAAACCAATTAAACCCAATATGAGAAAAAATTTTGAACAATGTTCAATGACCGTGGGACTTTCGTATCAGACCCCGTTGGTTATTTACGTTAACGATTCATTTCCAGGAATGGTACCAGAACTACTAAGGGCAGTCAGTACTGCAAGTGGTTTCAAATTTGAATATTATCAAGATGATTGTTACTTAGAAGAATTCCGACTATATACATTTGATTCGTTATTTGAACACTTTGATACTGGCAAAATAGATCTTTCGTTATTTCCTCACTTTCTTTTCAGTCCTAAATTAGTGTTTGTGCCTGCAATGTAAGGACTCTGTGCAAATATAAATTTTTTTTTTTATGTTTTTAATAGCTTTTTCTTTTGTTTTTATATTTCCGATTTTTCTTCTTTCGTTGCCTTTTTCTGATTTCAATAATCTTCAATAACTTACGAACGACATTTGCTCTATTCATTCTGTATTCGGATCATTTTTCTATGTAACCACATTTCAAACTCCTCCGGGCGATTGATCCTATCAATCTTCAGAGTGTTCAGGTCTCATGGCGATGTAACAACGTTGACCATATATAGCACTCAATCATAATCACTGATATCTTTATTGAGGTTCAGTTGGTTTTAATATAGCATACCAGATATTTAAAATGAATATTGACTGAATTTATTGAATCTTTTGTGATTTAGTTGTAGAAAAGCATTTCTGTAAGGTTGGCGACTAAATATTATAAAAGTTGTCTTAAAAGCATTAATTTTTAGACCCATCTTTCTTCCTGTTGTGTTTACGCAATCCAGTAAGTCTTGAAGGTCCTGGAGACTAAGATAACAGTGTCGTCAACGTATCTAAGATTATTAATCACCATTGGTTATCATTAAGTCTTTATAAGTCTTATAAAGTCTTGCTTACAAAGCCTGTTTTAAAAATATCCGATTAGATATTAAATATCAGAGGAGATAGAATGTATCCCTGTCTGATGCCTTTTACAATGTAACAGTTGTTGGTTAATTTCCAATCAACTCGTATGACTGGTTTCTGCTTCCAATACAAGTTTTCTATGATACGTAGTTCTTTACCATCAATGCCTTTATTGCTCAATATAGGATTTTCAACACGTGTTATAAAATTGCAAGATCCAGTTTTTTGCTTCCTGGCCTAAATGCTTTATTTGTTTACTGCATATATCATCAACACCTGCAGGTTTACCTTTTTTAACTTGTTCATGCCGTCGTGGAGTTCTTTTAGTGTAAAAGGAGCTCCTAGGTGGTTTGTCTTCGAATCCAATCTTCTAGTATTTGGGTCCTTATATCGGTTCGTAGTGCTTCCATTTATAAGAACTTGAGCAGCGACTTGATTTGCTGTAACCTTGCAAGGTGGTTTATGTTCTTTTGGATCACCGCTAAGTTTTTTTACAAGGTTCCATGCTATTTTGCTACTATGTATCATGTTCATTTTTTCCAGGGTCTCAATTTACTTTTCCTGTCTGGGTTAACATAGCTGTTGGAATAGTACTGCTCCACAGTCAACCGTTTCTTGGCTAAAAGGGTCAGTGGCATAGAGAGTTTTGTATGTTCTCATTAGTTTATTGGACTCGCTGGACATCCCAGAAACATATTGTTGTCTACATCATCTTCTACACATTTTTGAATACCTCTACAAATGTTTCGTAGTTCTCTGAACCTACGCTTCTTAAATTGACAAATGTTACAAATTTATTTATTTTTTGTTAAATTATTACACAAATAATAACCAATAAATATTTACCGGAAGCAATAGAGTGCTAAGTAATAATCGAATAAAATATGATGTAAATCAATCAATATGACATTATTGATGCTATCAATGGCATTTTCTTTAAAAACGAGCCTGTTAGAATTGCAAATTGAATAATGCCATAAGAATTTGTGTAGGCGGCGACTATCTGGAGGTGCATAACATATTTAATATCTTTTGCTTAACAATAATTCTTAGGTATAATACCTTCGCCGGTATTTAGATTATTAATCCAACTTTTTAACATCGTTGTCATCTTACTCCCACGTAGGGAGAGATTTTCTAGCTTATTTATGCGCTAACTATACCGCCATACAGGCCGTTAAGTTTTTGACGTCAGTCTTCACCGACGATATCGTACTTTTGGAAACTCAATCCGTTGAAGCTGTAGAGCAGTGAGAATTTTTTTAAACCCAATTTTTTTAAGCAGTATTATTCTGGAGTAAAACTGTGATTCACTTAGAGGCTGATTTATGATGAAGCGTAGAAAGATACCTGCTGATAATTACATAAATGGACGGTTTTGAGTACCTGGACAAGCTTATCGTGGCAACAAGCATTCAAAGGCCATCTTAGAGAGCTGAACTTTCATCACAGTAAAAACAAGCTGCTTGTACAGAAGCTATGTTACTATGTTTGATGTCGCCTTGATGTAAGAACCATGGATATACTAGAGGAAAATAAAAGTTCTCTTGGGTGTTAGCAGAAAGCTTATACACAACAGATCAGTCGCAGTCGTGAAGATATAATACAATATAATTATTAATGGAATATGTACAAGAAGCCAAATGCCTGCAGTATGGACTGTGTAAAACAGATGACATCTAGAGAAAAAACAAAATATTTAAGTGGACTTTCAGTCTACCGAAAGAATAAAATCAATTTTTTTGCGCCTTATCCTGTGACTTACTAGTGGTAAATCAGATAATATCACAACTAGGAACTCTTAAGAACGTGGGATTACTTGGGGAACATCACAAGGATACAACATGTATCAGTACTCAAAAGCATGGTGCATATAACAAAGGTTATTCGTCCTAATCACGAGTCGGTGTTTTACCCTGAACTGGTAGAGGATATCTAAATTGTCAAAAAAGAAACAATACACCATATAAAAGGAACCATTTAATACAAAACGAATAAAACAATTGATCATCGCAACAGTCATATTGCCATAAAAAAAATGATCAGAAACCCTATCGTACTTCACTAAATTTGTCTTTATATTAATTACTTTATTAATTACTTTATTTATTAATTACTTATTTTGCAGATATGATCAAATAAATATGATAATACCAAAACCCAAGAAAATATCGTATTGGAAATACAACTTCTTGGTTTACCAACTACCAGTGTGGTGTATCATATTTGCCATTATTCCATTATTATCTGTCGTAATTCTTGGAAATGCCCATTTTAGCAAAAACACGGATAAAAAGAACTTTGGATCATCCTTTGTTGATAATGTATTTTTAATTCTTCGATTTCATTTGAACGAATCAGCCACAAAGATACCAGTATCCTGGACTTTGAGAATTTTAATAGGTAAGTATTACTTTGGGCGCGGAAAAATGGTCTATTCTATATTATTTTGGAAATAGACTGTGCTTTTCTTATACCACAAAGGTGTTATAAAAACCCTGCTTCTTCCTCTCTGAGTCTGTCTTCGGTTCTTGCTCTACCTAATTAGTTTTCAATGAAAACGAAGCATATCATGTCGTAATGTGAACACAGATAGACTTGTTTCTCTACATAAATATAAGCCTGTTAAAATTTCTTGAAGTTATTTGAGTAGCAAACGCGTCTATACAAGTATAATTTCTACCGGCAGTCCCAATGGACTGCCACACCCGTTTTGTTTCTCTAAGATTTATAAAAGTTTTGGTTTGTTTTAGGTTTCTACATGTTCTTTTGCTTATTAGAAATTACGTATCGACAGGCTAAATCAACAAGCTTTTCAACAATATCTATATACGAAAAACGAGTTAAAAATTTAGAAGACCTTATAGAATCTGATATTCCGGTTAAAATGTTCTCGAGTTCTTCAATGGTTCTTCCAAAAAAAAGTCCTATATTGAAGAAAATCGAATATCTGTCTGAAGATGACACGCTATTGACCGATTTAAGTTTGAAAGCTGCTCGAGAAAGTTTCGCAACTATCTGGGCTGAAATTGGATTCGTTCCATATCCTTATCTTTATGAACTCATGGATTATTTCAATATCCGCATGTATGAGTTTGGTTTTTATATGCCTAAAAATCACATTTTTTACGAACACTTGGATTTATCGATGCAAAGGGTCGTGCAATGTGGTTTTTTGGAAATGTTGTATGGGAAATATAAAAACTTTTTTATGCTTAAGCACAGAAATGATTACCCAAGTAAAGATACGAGTGTGAAAAGAGACTTAAAAAGCTGTATGTCCATGTTTATTGTGTTGTTTGCTGGATATTCTGTTTCAATGGTAGTATTTGGGATAGAATTACTTGTAGCAAATAAATGGCATTCAAAAAACATAAATAGCTTTATACAGGTAAAAAGTTAAAAGTAGGTAATAGAAAACAACACAATTTTCTCAGTGTTTGCTGTTTATTGGTTAAATAAGTGTTTAAATAGAAATTACTTATATGAATGTTTACACTTTTTTTTAAATAAAACACATTTGAATTGACAGCTGATTTTTATTTTTGATTTAATTTGATTTAACTACTTTTGCAGTCTATTCAGCCAATTTTTGTAACATTTTTTCAAAATGCGATTTTCAAATTTTGTCAATTCGTCATTTGAGTGCCAGAGAATCGTTCATTGTCGATGGGATTACCAACCACACATTATTGCTCTTTCAATGTACATGACATGTACATACTAATGACTTTTCGCACGAAATTGTTATGAGTTTAATTTAATATAAAACGTAAAATGTTTGATATAAAATCCAATCATTCTGTTATTTTCTTAAATCCTACTGCAAATTATCCTGCTAATATATTTATTTTATTTAATATTTCGTTAAGTATTAACTTTATTAAAGGAATTTTATACCAAAATTCAAAATGTTTGATGCTTGTGATGTATTGTGTAATTGTGTTCCGAACATATTGTATTCTTTAGTTTGCTACGGAACACGCTTAGAGGTGAGGTATCGTTGAGGGATAGATAAAATGTCATTGTGGGGAATGTCAGAAATAAAGGATTACATCCAAACATGTTTTTATTTAAAAAGTCTTAAATAAATCCACTATTCTCAAGTACGGACATATTAATGCTTTTGTCAATTTTTTTAATGATGCTTTTTAATATGAGACGATCTTTTATGGAATATATTGACAAATGAATTGTTTTTTAACATAAACAAAAAACAAAGTTTTAATTTAATATAAAACGTAAAATGAACTAGATGTTTCACGTAGGTAGCTCAAGGTCAAACTAAACTAAATGTCATTTGTAGTACCGATACAAATCTTTTGATGTCGCTATACTCCACATATAGTCTATACTCTGCAATTTTGGTTTAGAACCAAACTAAAAATTATAATTGTCAATCGCTGTCAGTATCAGCAATAATAATTGATTAGCGTCTATATAATCAGATTTCAGATGGTTATTATTCGTCTAAATTGTTTGGTTTGATGGTTATTATTGCAAAGAAATCAACCTAAACTTGGTTTAATATCTCTGGGTTACTATTAGCATTCACATATGGCTTAGTGTTATAAAAAATCCTAATTTAGATATGATGAATTCCACAATTCCACTACAGTTTTTAAAACAAAACGAATATGAAGATAAGTTTGCTTCTACATGGAGTCATAGCTTGTGCCAAAATGCAATTTCCGAGAACAAATAGCTAATTGATTTTGGATTCTTTTTCTAATCTACATCCCAGAAGTATTTCAATGTTGTGCGCGGTAGCAAATGTAATATAAAGTAAGTAACCCGAATATAACATTACATTGTAATTAATAAAAATTATTTTACTTGAAGTGAATCATGGTATAAATTATTATATCAACTTTTTGTTTTAGTTGAAAGTGAAAGTTCTTGAATAAGTAGAGATGCACAATCTTCACACATGCTTTAATCATTTGAGATACCCTATTGTAGTATATAAAATTGTACAATTTTCAGTTAAAATAAAGCATATTTCTATTGTATTCTAAATTAATATACAAAGTTGTTTGACATGTATTAAATAAATAAATAAATTATATTTTGTTTTATTTTTTCTTAAATGGTATTGTGTTTATTTGGATTTAAAAAGAATTTGTACCTTTTAAAATTTAAAATGCAATTTTTTTTAATATATACCAAATTATATTTAAATATTTTAAGCCTTTTTAAATTTTCCCAAAAAAAAAAAATAAAAGTTGGAAATTCCTGCGTAATTTCCCTCTTGAATTAGTTCCGATACAAATCTCTTGAAGCATCTAGATCATAGCAGAAGCATCATATATTGTCGTGAAGCATCTAGAAGTAGGTGATTTGTGGTAAAATGTTTGATATAAAATCCAATCATTCTGTTATTTTGTCAAATCCTATTGCAAATTATACTGCAGATATATTTATTTTATTTTTTCCATAGCTAATGTTAAAGTGATGCTATAACAACTGTTTTGAGTAGATAAAGTATCACTTTAACCGCAAGGGTAGATAAAGTGACACTTTAACCGTAAGGGTAGATAAAGTGACACTTTAACAGCAAGAGTAGATAAAATGTTTTAACTTTTTTATTCAATAAAATTTACAAATTCAAACACATTAAGGATTAAAAACAACTGAAATTTTACAATTAACATTATTAGAAATATCTTATTTTTGGAGCATCACAACTTGTACTCGTGTGCTTAAACACTTGATTCGAGGTACTGGATTGATTTTCTGTAACATTTGTTTGACCTTTGTTGACAAAGTAATTCATATCCCTAGCAACTGAGCAACACAATTGCGATTTTTGTGCTAAAAATTACAATTTTCTTTCAAATTCTATTTTTTACCTTAACTTGAAGTCTTGCTATAGAAAAAAAATGTTGTATTGCACACGACGATAAAAACGCATTATCTTCTCGAGCATAATTAGCGTCTCGACTGATGTCTCGACGCTAAAAAACGCTCTCGAAGATAAAGTAAAATTTTATCGTCTTGTACAATGAATAACTATTAATATTTTGTTAACTATTAACTTTATTAAAGGAATTTTACACCAAAATTCAAAATTTTTTATGCTTTTGTCTAATTTTCTTTCATTGTCTGGAGCAATTGCGTTAAATCAGAATTATGTAGTTGATTTGTAGAATGCGCTTATTTCGAAAACTGTTGAATATTGAAGTTATTAACAAGTATGCCTTTTTTTGTTAAAATAATGTATCTTTAATATTCTTTATCACAAACACCGGTAACTTAAAGAGCAAAAAAGTAAGTGCAAATGTATGCCACATATGTGGCATATGTGGCGCCTTCTATCAGCTACATTAAAATATGCATCAAATTATAATTTCTGATGTTTAATAGTACCCAGTTATGAATTTTCATACATAAATTTTCACAAACATGAAAGGTATAGCGAAAATTAAAATTTCTAATTTAACATCCTGTATATTTCTTAATATCATTTTATTAAAGCAATTTAGCTATAATCTTAATATTTTAAAATGTAGAATCTTCGATTTCTTTTTGTACAATTACTTAAGGACCACCCTGTATATGCATAATGTGATTGTGCTTGTGCGTGTTTTATACTACAATATTTTTAACTTATGTTTATGTAATTGTCATCAAAATAGCATATTATTGAAAAAAATATAAAAGATAATCAAAAAATGGTATGTCAAATAACATTACTCAAATAACTCTCCATATGTATCGACGGAGCTGATTATGAATAAGCTGTACTACAACCTTGCAAATCACATTAATTTGGAAAATATAATTACATAAATGTAATATAATAGACTAGATTTAATATGAGTGGGCGTTTAACCCCTTTCACTCGACCTTTTAGTTCTATTGCAGCTCATCCCTAATGTAATATGTTTTAATCAATCAATGTAATAACTGATGCTACGTACGGATTTAGTTTAACTCTACGAAAATGCGAATTATATTTCTATTACATTTTTTAACATTTGCTGTACAAGTTAATTCGATAAATAATCTGTTGAAAGATGATGATGTGTTAACAGGCTGTCTTCAGCCGCTTGTAGATGACTACAATTACCACACACATATTTTTATAAAAAGTGAAAACTTCACTAGAAACTTCATTCCCAAGTTTTTGAAAGCAAATGTAGGCTGTAACAATTTATATTTATTGGACCTTTTTCATTATACACCAAACTTATTTACGATCACTTATGATTCCATCGATGAACTTAATAATACGTTTCTCGCAATAGATACAGCAAAACCACATTTTAATCTACTTTTGTCAGACTTCATTGTAGTTACCACCAATCCAGAAGAGTTACTTCAGATAACGCATTTGATGTGGGAGTACAGATTTTACAGAAGTTTAATTCTACTACAAAATGGTTCTATAGGAGAGCTATATGTTATTGATTACATAAATAGTAACTGTGGTAAAATAATAGGCTATAAGAAAATTAACGAATGCAAAAATAAAAAATACAAATATAAATTAAAACCAATCAAACCAAATATGAGAAAAAATTTTGAACAATGTTCAATGACCGTGGGACTTTCGTATCAGACCCCGTTGGTTATTAACGTTAACGATTCATTTCCAGGAATGGTACCAGAACTACTAAGGGCAGTCAGTACTGCAAGTGGTTTCAAATTTGAATATTATCAAGATGATTGTTACTTAGAAGAATTCCGACTATATGCAGTTGATTCGTTATTTGAACACTTTGATACTGGCAAAATAGATCTTTCGTTATTTCCTCACTTTCTTTTCAGTCCTAAATTAGTGTTTGTACCTGCAATGTAAGACTCAATGCAAATATAAAATTTATTTTTTTTTAATTTTTTTTAAAGCTTTTTCTTTTGTTTTTATATTTCCGATTCTTCTTCTTTCGTTGCCTTATTAGGTCCCCCAATGTTGGTAATTACATTGGCGAGTTGTGCATGGTTTTTAGCTATTCGGAATAGTTGTTCGAAACTACGAATTCACATCCAATCGCGAATGTTCTTGAGCTTTGACATATTTTTCTTCTTGATGTACCAGTGTCGTCTAAGAACATGCCCTGGGTATGAAATTTTTTTTATTTCAATAGTCTTCAATAACTCACAAACGACATTTGCTCTATTCATTATGTATTCGGTCAATTCGGAGCATTTTTCTATGTAACCACATCTCAAACTCCTCCAGGCGATTGATCGTATTAATCTTCAGAGTGTTTAGGTCTCATGGTCATGTAACAACGTTGACCATATATAGCACTTATCATCATTCATCATATATCATCATTCTTTCATATCTTTATTGGGGTCCAGTTGGTTTTTAATATAGCATTCCAGATATTTAATTTGAGTAACTTTCTGAATGTTTTGTTGATTTAGTTGTAGGAAAGCATTGTGTCAGCTCAATGAAATGAAAGCCCATTTTTCTTCCTGTTGTGTTTACTCAATCCAATAAGTCTTAAAGGCCCTGGAGACTAAGATAACAGTGTCGTTAACGTATCTAAGATTATTAATCACCATTAATTATCATACTAAAGTCTTTATCTTACAAATCCTGTTTCAAAATTATATCCGAGTAAATATTAAATATCAGAGAAGATAGAATGTATCCCTGTCTGATGCATTATTTAATGTAACAGTTGTTGGTTAATCTCCAATCAACTCGTATGACTGCTTTCTGCTTCCAATACAAGTTTTCTATGATACGTAGTTCTTTACCATCAATGCCTTTGGTTCTCAATATATTCATAAGCATTCTATGTTGTATCCTATCGAAAGCCTTTTCGTAATCGATGAAAGTCACATAAATATCTTAACGTTGGTAGCGGCATTTTTGGAGAAGTACATTTAAACCAAAAAGTACCTCACAAATATTCAGCTCATTTCAAAATCCAAACTGAGTTTTATCTTATTATTGCATGAATAAATCGACCAAAAATGTTCATCAGACTAATTAATCTGTATTAGTCGCATCTTTTTGCCAACTGTTTCTGCGGAATAACTATAAAGCAAGGTATTTCAACATTAGTATACTCGTCAATAAAAACCTTACCTAGAGCACTGATGTCATTTGAAGCACTTGTATCATTTTTAATAGTTCAGCTGGGATGTTGCCTGGTGCAGTTGCTTTCTTGGTTTTGGCTGATTTAATTAAAATTTCAGGTACTTCTTCATTTATATTGTTCTGTATGTTTCAAGTATTTTCCGTTCATCAATAATAACTAAACACGCAAAAAAAATCCAAGTTTAGAAGACAAAAGCAATAGAATGCCAACAAAAAATCGACATAACACTACTTAGCCAAATGACAAGACAATTAAACGTAATTTCTGACAAAAGACCTACCAAAACAATTGGATAACATCATTGATAACTGAAAAATTTACATTTTCGAAACTTAGTTTTATTAATACTTCCAATATATAGAGTTTGTTAGCCCTTAAATGTGCTAATGAACCTACCTTACAATTGCTTAAGGAACACGTTAGTGGGGCACAGTATGAAAAGGTACTACTCTATAAATTGTAGAGGAAACTGAATATCCTTATTCGATCTTAACTGCATCCCTTCCTTGCAGGAAAAGTTACTCCGTGGAGAATTAGTAGGGTAGGAGGTAGGGTTCGAAGAGTACTAAATAGTAGCATCTTCTTTAAACTGGAGAATGTTAAAGGGATCAGATGGACGCATGGTAATGCTTACTTTTTCTTTCAGTGCTGTGCTTATCTGAGAACAGAAGGAGCCCTAAACTGAGTAAGACTGGGCATAGTATAAACATCTTATGACATCGACACGGTGCGTCCCAATGGCTAATAGAAAACTTTATGTGGATATATTAGTCAATATGATATATATGAATAACCGAGGGTACTGAGAAGATAAGGGGTAGAGAGGATTAAGTACACAATTTGGACAACGACCATCACAATTCAATCGTGTAATGAGTGGTCGAGAGAAGCGTGAAGGGGATCTCTTAATCACCTTATTTTTAAATGAATTAATTGACAAATTTGACAAATTTATTTGGTTTTTGTTAAATTAATTCATAAATAATAACCATAATAAAAATTTACCAGCAGCAATAGAGTACTAAGTAATAATAGAATAAAATATGTGACATTAATGGTGTTATCAATGGCATTTTTTTAAGAACAAGCCTGTCATAATTGCGAATTGAGTGTTATAAGAATTTGTGAAAGCGGTAATTATCTGGACGTGTATAATAGATTTAATATCTTCTGCTTTACATTAATTCTAACTTAACAATCCAACGTTTTTACATTGTTGCCATTTTTTTAGTACCTTTCTACCACACAGGGAGAGATTTTCTAGCTTATTTATGAGCTAACTATACCGCCATACAGTTCGTTAAGATTTTGGCGTTAGCCTTCACTGACGATATCATACTCTTGGAAAATCAGTCCGTTGAGACTGTAGAGCACTGAGGATTTTTTTAAGCCCAAAGGTACCATTTTAAACGTCTCAAAGTGTTATTTAGTCTCAGCAGTATTAATCTGGAGTAAAACTGGGATTCACTTAGAGGCTGATTTATGATGAAGCGTAGAAAGATATCTGCTGGAAATGAAGTGGACGGTTTCGAGTACCTGGACAAGCTTATCGTGGCAACAGGTATTTAAAAGCCATCGTAGAAAAGCGAACTTTCATCACAGTAAGAAAACTGCTTGTACGGAAGCTATATTGCTGTGTTTGATGTCGCGTTGAGAGCCCTGGATATACCAGAGGAAAATAAAAGTTCTCTCATGTGTTGGCAGAAAGCTTATACACAACAGATCACCCGAAGTCGTGAAGATATAATAAAATATAATATTATTAATGGAATATGTACAACAAGTCAAAGGCCTGCAGTATGAATGGTGTAAAACAGATGACATCCAGAGAAAAAAACAAAATATTTAAGTGGACTTTCAGTCTGCCAAAAGATTAAAATCAATAGGACACGTGATGATCCAATCAATTTTTTGTCCTGGCACTATCCTGTGACTTACGAGTAGTAAATCATATAATGTCAAAACTAGGAACTCTTAAGAACGTGGAAGTGCTTGTGGGGGACATCAGACATATTACTCAAAAGCATGGTGCATATAACAACGGTTATTAGTTCTGATCACGAGTCAGTCTCTTATCCTGAACGGGTAAAGGATGTCTAAACTACCAAGAAAGAAACAATACACCATATAAAAGTAATTATTTAAAAATGAATGGAAGAACAATGAATGAAGACAACTGGTCATCGCAACAGTCATATTGCCATAAAAAATGATCAGGAACACTATGGTACTTTACTGTGTTTGCCTTTATACATGTACTTTTTGTTTGGTTCAGGTTCAGACGTTAATAATGACTTATTTTGCAGATACGATCAAATAAATATGATAATACCAAAACCCAAGAAAATACCGTATTGGAAATACAACTTCTTAGTTTACCAAGTACCAGTATGGTGTATTCTATTTGCAATTATTCCATTATTATCTGCCGTAATGCTTGGAAATGCCCATTTTAGCAAAAACACGGATAAAAAGAACTTTGGATCATCCTTTGTTGATAATATATTTTTAATTATTCGATTGCACTTCAACGAATCAGCCACAAAGATACCAGTATCATGGACTTTAAGAATTTTGATAGGTAAGTATTACTTTGGGCACTAAAAAATTTTCTATGGTATACTGTTTTGGAAATAGACTGTGCTTTTCTTATACCACAAAGTTTTTTATAAAAATCCTTCTTTTTCCTCTTCGAGTCTGTCTTTGGTTCTGGCTCTACCCAATTAGTTTTCAATGAAAACGAAACATATCATGTAATGTGAACAAAAACCTACATTTTTCTGTACATAAATTTACGCCTGTTAAAATTTCTTGAATTTATTTGAGTAGCATTATTCTGGAAATGATATAACCCTTTAAAATGTATTTCAGTAATTCTGTTCAGCACAACAAATTCTGAAGTTTCCCAAGCTCTCATTTATTTTATTAAACTATGGATCTTGCACGAAGAAATTACTGGAATCAAAAAACGTCCAGATGATTTAACCCTTTTACTACTGAATTTAGTTTTAGATGTAAGAGACTAAAACTATTCAGTTTTATAATCAGAATAATTGATTTAAACAAATGATGTGTAACGAATTATTTTGCCTACCATATAGGGTATTACTATAGGGGTTGAAATCTTGGGACAGAAACTATTGGGCTAGAGATAGGGCAAGCAAAACAAATCGAAACTTATGCGAACGGCGCTCAGGGTTTGTTTGGAGAGCTGGGGGGTGGGTAAGTTGAATGGCAAGGGGTCGGATTGGGGCAACTACAAAAATGAACTAAAAGGAGGTACTTACATGAATCTCCTGGACAAATAGGAAAACAAAAACAACAAGAAAAACCTCTAGCTACTTAAAATAAGGACGCCACTTCTAAGGATCCTCCTGTTGGATGAAGGAAAAAAGGATCTTCCTAGCTAGTAAAAGGATAGTTGCTAGCTGTCACATGTTAACATTAAACTTACAGCGGAGAACAAATAAAATGACAGCAATGGCCACACCCTAAGACATATAATTTTAATTATATTTATTCACTTTACTTTAAATTTCTGGGTATGGAAACTGGAACTCAAACTCTCAATTCATCTCCATACTGTGAAAAAAGAATCCAGAAACGACTGCTTAGGACATTGAGGATTAAAATGATCGGCTCTAGATACTAAGTTTAGACTGGGCTTTCCCTGCTTTTCCAGATTTTTTTCTTTTACATCACAAATAAACTGTGAAATATTTATACTCGGGTTAGGAACGTACTACAAAATTTCCTATTCTTGAATATAAGATAGTTTTAAGGAATTTTCGACATGCTGCATATTATGTATATAATTATTCGTTAAATTCATATTTGTCCGTTCTAAGAAGGTGGAAACTTTTGGCCCCAACAGTAATTTTGACTGGAATTTTGAGGTCCCATCAGTAATAAAAAGCATCTAGCTTAGAACACTGCCCATTCAATTCCAAAAGATTAATACCCTTCGTTTGCTTAGAAGTTTCTTCTAGGTAAAAAACTGTTCGAAGGTTATTTCCAAGTTACAACATGCGTATTTACATTAGGACTCACGTCAGTAGCATCACCACTCCAATTATTAACCGTTTTCTTTGAATGGCATTAATCATCGCTGCTACTTTATAGCCAATTTTGATAGTTTTTATTTTTAAGTGCCAAATGACGATATAATTAAATTTTTATTGAATTGTTTCAAAATTTATTAGGTAGTTAATAATATATTTACTATCATTTTAGAATTTTCTATAAAAGATTATAGCACTATTTTAGCTCTCCTGTAAAAGTTACAAAATGTGACTGAACACGTTTTTGCCCGTGAACTTTTCATTTATAAAAGTTTTGGTTTGTTTTAGGTTTCTACATGTTCTTTTGCTTATTAGAAATTACGTACCGACAGGCAAAATCAACCAGCTTTTCAACAATATCTATATACGAAAAACGAGTTAAAAATTTAGAAGATCTTACAGAATCTGATATTCCGGTTAAAACGCTCTCGAGTTCTTCAATCGTTCTTCCAAAAAAAAGTCCTATATTGAAGAAAATTGAATATCTGTCTGGAGATGACACGCTATTGACCGATTTAAGTTTGAAAGCTGCTCGAGAAAGATTCGCAACTATCTGGGGTGACATTGGATTCGTTTCTTATCCTTTTCTTTATGAACTCATGGATTATTTCAATATCGGCATGTATGAGTTAGGTTTTTATATGCCAAAAAATCACATTTTCTACGAACACTTGGATTTATCGGTGCAGAGGGTCGTGCAATGTGGTTTTTTGGAAATGCTGTATGGGAAATACAAAAACTTTTTTATGCTTAAGCACAGAAATCATTATCCAAGTAAAGATACGAGTGTGAAAAGAGATTTAAAAAGCTGTATATATATGTTTATTTTGTTGTTTGCTGGATATTTTGTTTCATTGGTAGCATTTGGGGTAGAATTGCTTTTAGCAAATAAGTGGCTTTCAAAAAACGTAAATAGATTTAAACAGGTAAAAAAATTGAAAAAAGGTAATACAAAACAACACAATTTTCTCAGTTTTGCTGTTTATTTGTTAAATAAGTGTTTCAATAGAAATTACTGATTTGAGTGTTTACATTTTTTTTAAATAAAATACATTTGAATTGATAACTGATTTTATTTATTATTTGATTTAACTACTTTTGCTTAAAATTCTTTATGAAACTATACAATTAGGATTAAATGTAATAATTACATGGATCAAGGAACATTCAGGAATAAAAGGCAATGAGATCGTTGACAATTTGGCTAAATCAGCATGTACGCTTGGAGAAAAAGTAAACAAAAATTTAATTCCAGCGAGAGATATTGACACCGTTAGTAGACAAGAACTTAAAAAAATAATTGGCATTTATATTACAGAGAATGTAAGACTGGCTTAAACTTTTATCATTGTAACACTAGGATATCCTCAAGAAGATGGTTCTACAGAGAATCTAATTGACATTTTATAAAGACCATTAATCGGCTGAGAGGAAATCATGCTCATGCTCATCAAAGAGGCCTGCTTTCTACCAATTTCTCTGCGTCCTTCGATTTTACCCATCATAATAATTTGAAGAATATTATATCGGTCTTCCCTTACTACGTGTCCAAAATAGGCCATCTTTCTACATTTGATGTTATCAAGCAGCTCGCGAGCAGCATTTGCTCTCTCAAGGACTGCCACATTTGTCAGCATAGTCGTCCATGGAATTTTTAGTATACGTCTGTGCAGCCACATCTCAAAGGCCTCCAGACGAATAATCGTGGATATTTTAAATGTCCATGCTTCGACACCGTATAAGAGGACTGACCAAATGTAGCATTTAACCATGCGCTTTCGAAGTTGAAGTTGGAAGTTATCATTACAGAAGAATGACCTCATTTTTAAAAATGTCGTGCGGGCTATCTCGATTCTACATTTTATCTCTTGATCTGGATCTAGTTATTCAGTAATATGGCAACCAAGATATTTAAAACTGGACACTCTTTGAATTATATGACCATCAACATATAATCGTGCATCTTGATGTGCTAAACGGCTAAACACCATGTGTTTTGTTTTTGAACAGTTTATGTTTAGGCCAAACTCTCTTCCCACTTTATCAATGGCATTTAAAAGGCATTGTAATCCATTCATGTCATCACTTAAAATAACTGTATCGTCTGCATATCTGATTGTATTTATCAGAATTCCATTAACTTTCACGCCCCATTCCAAATTATGCAGCGCTTCTTTAAATATTCTCTCTGAATATAAATTAAATAACAGTGGGGATAGTATACAACCCTGTCTGACACCTTTTTGTATTTTACATATTTCTGTTGATTTTCCGTTTATGCAAGCTGTCGCTGTTTGACGCCAGTATAACTTTTCTATGAATCGTATATCTTGACTATCAACTCCTTTATCTTTTAATATTGTAATTAATTTGTGATGCTGTACTCGATCAAAGGCCTTTTCATAGTCAATAAATACAGCAAAGACATCTTTTCTTTTCTGATTCGACATCATTGTCATATTTCTTTTCTGCAGTAGGGGCATATATCTGGATAACATTGACATTCAATGGTTTGCTATTTAATTGGAGTATTGCCAGTCTGTCGTTCACTGGTATAAACTTTTTTACATATTTCTTAAATTTAGACGTTATAAATAAGCCAACTCCATTCCTATGATGTGTGTCATCTTCTGCACTTCCAGAATAGTATAGTGTGCCTTCATCTTGTTCACATATTCCCGTTCCAGGCCACCGGAGCTCACTGATGCCCATTATATCAATTTTTAAACGTTTAACCTCTTGAACTAAGTTACTGAGCTTGCCTGCTGCATAGAGGCTTTTAACGTTCCAGGTACCTAATCTGATTGTACTGCTAGACACTTTTTAAAGTTGTCGTACTTCTATAATTGTAGGGATTTCGTGTGATGACGACCGGGGAGGCTCTACAGTCTGGTGCGCGCCCTTCCCTGCCGGATCTTGGTTTCCGTGATCCATGATCAGTAATACTTCCGTTACGATTGCATTGAGCCATGTTAACTTTACTCGGGAGAAATAATTGGGGTGGTTTCCCGTTGCCTTCCCCAATGATTTTTCTGACGCAATAGGTTTACTCCTGTGGGTTGGATAATCGGGAAGGATTTTTGGGTGTTTGGTAGGAAACTTGGATCGGGCCATGACCTTCCCTATTTGGTTTTGAGGGATAGCCATGGCTTGCGTGAGCAGGGTCGCGTCCCTGAAATAGATCTGACTTACATCGGGATCGTATAAGTGTATCTATCCGCTGCTCATCCCGTATATACATAATTTATAATAATACACATATTAAATTTGGTCCTAATGTTTTTCCACATTAAACATAAAACGATAATGCTGATTAAAATCTCTTTCACGAATCAAGTAACCATCAAATAATAATTATAGAAGCGTAGCTCATATTAATCTCGTAAAAAAATTATTTAAAACCTACGCACTTCGTGTAACGGCAACAAAATGCGTGATATATTTTTGGCAGTCTTAACATTTTCTTTACAGGCTCATTCATTACCTATTTCCTTGAGGGAGGAAGATTCTTTGACGGGATGTCTCCAATTAATTGTCGAAGATTCTAACTATGCCGCTCATTTTCTAATAACAAGTGAAAACCTAACTGTAAATTTTATTCCACGATTTTCAAAAGTGAATATAGAAAGTAACAATTTACTTTTACTGCACTCTTTCGTTGGTGCTCCAAATTTATTCACCATAACTTACAGTTCTTTAGATGAGTTAAATACAACTCTTTTCGATATATTTACATATAGAAAAGTGTCCAGAATTTTGTCACATTATATTATTCTCACTGCTAATTCGGCAGATTTACTTCAAATATCGCAGTTGTTGTGGAAGTACAGTTTTTACAAGAGTTTAATTCTATTTCACAGTGATTTAATGGTAGAATTGTACGTTATTGATTACATAAATACCAATTGCGGCGAAATTATAAGATATAAGAAAATAAACGAATGCAAAGACAACAAGTACAAAAGAAAATTAAAACCGATCAAACCCGACATGAAAAAAAGTTTTGATCAATGCTCTTTGACAGTTGGTGTTTCGTATTTACCTCCAATGACACATTATGTTAACGATTCACCCCCTGGGATAGTGCCAGAACTACTACAAGTAGTCAGTATATCTAGTGGATATAAATTTAATATATATGAAAATGATAATTACATAAATGAAATTAGAGAATTTAGATTTGATTCGGTTTTTGAAGACTTCGCTAGCGGCAAAATAGATCTGATGTTTATGTGTAACTACATTTTGGACTTTAATGTATTTTTTGTGCCAGCTATGTAAGATTATTATAAATTAACAAATATTGAAGCTCCCTAACTATTTATGTTAATAAAAACTTTTGGCTTGTTTGCGGTAAAAAGTCGCTTTTCTTATAATATTAAAAAAATGTAATGTTCGTTACAATTATTAGTGGTTTAATCACATCTAAACAATAGCATTCTTCTTCTTCTTCTTGTAGCACTACAATTTGGGGTGGGTCTTGGCTGACTGCACAACTTGCTTCCTTCTTGAACGGTCGTCCATAATAGTTGGGTCAGTGGGTTCTTAGATCTGATCATATATTGTCTCTTCATCGAATCCGTGGACGTCCTAAGGGCCTTCTTCCTGTGGAGGCTTCCTCTCATATTAACTTGGCAAGGCGGTTATTAGGTAGTCTATGGACATGGCCAGCCCATCTTAGACGTTGGAATTTAATCTCTTGAACTATGTCGCTCGCTTTATACATCTGCTTGACCTCAGCATTTGTTTTCATTCAGTATTGGTTACTATTAATATCGTGATAAGGCCCAAAGATTCTTTTGAGGATTTTCCTCACAAAACGTTTAAGTTTTGTTTCAGTTTCTTTCTGTCGTCTAAATCTCTAAATCTGTATAGAGATTATGGACAGTTCTATTAAATTCCCATCCTTTTTCATGCAGCTGTCTTAGATTAAAGATCTGATCTATGGTCGATATATGTTTTCTGAAGCCGGCTTGGTATTCCCCTATGAAATTTTCTACAAACAGTGTCAGCCTACTTAATAGGATGTTCGATAAGATTTTATATGCCGTATTAAGTAGGGAGATGCCTCCATAATTAGAGAAATTGATTTTATCTCCCTTTTTATGGATGGGGATTATTACACTTTTGTGCCATTTTGTTGGTGTTTTCTCTTCGTTCTATATAAGTGTTATTACTTAATGTATTTGTCTATGTAGAGTTTTTCCTCCGTACTTAAAGAATTCAGCCAGTATATTATCAGAGCCTGGAGCTTTTCCGTTCTTTAATTTGTTAATTGCTTGCAAAGTTTCATCTATTTTTGGGTCCTCTACCGGTAGGTCCACCCCAAAATATATATTGTCTTCATGTTCTTCCTCTTGATGTATGTTTAGTAAAGTCTTGAAATATTCTTGCCAAGTTTGGGGCAGTTCTTTTTCATTTATTATTAATTCATCATTTTTCTGAGTGCAGACACGCATCTAGGTCTGAAGCCTTTCTTTTCGTTTGACACTGATTTGTAAAATGCTTGACTATTTGACTGTTGCTTATTCCTTTCCATTTCTTTATATTTCTGTTGTTCGTACTTCCTTTTTTTCCCTCTAATTAATTTTCTTGTTTCTCGGCGTGAAGTTGCATAGTTTTCTTTATGGTCTGTACCTCCATCTATTCCCCTAAGGCTTCTTACATCCAGCACATTACTTCCATGTCTAGCATCGATAATTACGTGGTCAATTTGGTTCCGCGTGAAGTGGTCATTAGACACCCAAGTCTGTTTATGAATATTTTTGTGTTGGAACATAGTAGACTTTAGAAGCATATTGTTAGCCGATCCTAGCTCTACGAGCCTTTGTCGATTGTCGTTTGAGATATCGTGGAGGCTGTGTTATCCTATTGTCGGTCTTAGGTTAGGTTCTTTGCCAATTTTTGCGTTGAAGTCTCCACAGGTTATCTGCATGTCTTGTTTGGAGATTTTCTCAAGCATTCTTTCAAGTTGATCATAGAAGTAATCTTTATTATGTTCGTCTTAGACTTTCAGTCTAATATAACAAAGTCTTTCAGTAATGGGCGTGAAACTTATGATACTGTTCAGGTATTCTTCTGGTACTACGAAACCTGTGCAAAATTCGTGTTTTCCTGTCTGGTTTTCATGTAGAAAATGACCGCCTTGTCTATTTTTATTTTTGCGGTGTCTAGCCACCTTAGTTCTTGTTTGCCGTAATATCCATTCCTACTTTTTCTATTCAACTGTTTTCAAAAAATATTATTGTTAAACATGAAACAAAAAAATTCACCCCTTTATGCAGCCTATAATATTCGTTTTGGTACACAAGCTGCCATTTTGTTTCTTCATCAATAATAAAGCACCTCTAGTTGAGCCGCGAAATTTTCTAGTCTGCATACATTCAGTATTTCTCTTAAAATATTTTATTATTTCTTCATATTATCATGTACCGACATTGAGCCAATAATATGATATACATTGAACCTTTTTGACAATAACCTTCATATTTAGGATTTTGCTATACAACTAAACCGCAAAATGACCTCGGTGACCTCGGTTTTCTGTATGATCCATTCTATTCTTTTTCGACCTCTCTTTGTTATATCAAGCTTGCGTTGCTCCATTCACCTTTGAGTAACTTTGAGTTTCGCTATTGCATATTTCTTTAATTCCAAGTTTTACAGTCTTATGTTATAATTGGTGGTATACAATACAATGATCGAATGCTTTTTTGGTCAGGGGGAGTGAGATCCTGCATTTGAATATAACTGCATTTTTATCAAAAGATGCTCAAGATAGGTTAATTCTTCTATTTATTATTTTTATAAATTTTTACCTTATCTTTGCTTGTCTGTATACATTTACTAAAACCTCTATGTGCAACCTCTATCATCGTAGTTTTTTATATATTCCTTGATACTTTATCTTATGGTCTTATAAAGTTCTGTGTATTATATTCTTTGTATGTTGGTACTTGTTTTCATTTCTTTTCTTTGTTTTTAGACACGAAAACGTATTAATGCTACTACCGAAACCAAAACTATTGCCTTACTGGAAAAACAACGTCTTGGCGTACCAATTGCCTGTATGGTGTTGTATATATGCTTTAATTCCACTACTGTCATTCATAGTTCTAGGTTATGCAAAATTAATCCAAAACTCGGACACGACATATTTTGGATCATCTTTTGTCGACAATCTCTTTATGGTTTTTGGTCTTAGCTTAAATATAGCAGCAACCAGGATACCAGTTACTTGGAATCTGAGAATTTTAATAGGTGAGGAAAGCCCAATAATGTCTTAAATATTTTTTATTGATATAATGTGTCTACATTACATAAACAATAAAACCTTAACATCAACAATTAAAAGCGCAATATGGTATTATAAATACATTATATTAATATTGTTCTGAAGCTATTTTCTTATGGCATTGTAAATTAATTACTATTTAACTGGGAATAAGCCACAATTAAAGATAAAAATACGTTTATTGACGTTTCAATTTCCACTTCGGAAATCGTTCTCAAAATATAAACAGTAAATTAAACAAATTTTGTTTTTTGTTACATAGTGAAAAATTCTTCTAATAATTTAATTTTATCTGACTTATTTATATTGACATACATTATGCATTTTAAAGTAGACAACTTTAAAATGATATTGCCAATATTGTTGAGTTGCGCTCCTGGGACGACTTTACTTATAAGATAGTTCATTCGATTACGTGAAATCAACTTTAACTTGAGAATATCCGTCAGAAAAAAATCATAGCATGTAATTCGTCTTTAAAAAGACAAACACATGACATGATGATAGTAAAATTCTCCTGTTAGTGATTCCATAGTAAATTATGCGGGAAAAACCAGGAAAAAAACCTCATAATACTACCCTGACATGGTAAGTATTTGTTCGTGAATTTAGTTTACCTTCAACAAACATCAAAATTCTGATTTTATATGTTACGTTATTTAAAAAACATAAATGATGTATCCTCTATATGTTACTGACTTACTAATACTGGTATTTTCTTATTAAAATAGAAAATAGCTTCAGAACAATATTGTATTCAATCGTAAAATAGTTTCGAAACACAATTCAGATTTCTGCTTTATAATCTGAGCCTTCTAAGAATTGAAAGGCAAACAGACGTTGATAAAAGATGTTAAAAGAGACATGGGGAATCTAAAATTTGCATTCCACGACATATCTTTTACAACTAAGCAGAAATCCTTAGCGAATTGTGCTTCTAGTACTCACACAGTGTAAATCCATATGAATAGCTCTAGAACCCCTATGAATAGCTCTTCTGACGAGACCTATTAGGTCGAAATACGTATCAAGAGACACATAGGATTTGTTTGCGTGAAATCAAATATTTGCTGCCTTTTCTCATAATATTGTATTCATTGATTGTTACGTTTTGTCTAACCCTTGGCTTTGGGTTCTTCGTAACCACCATGTACTTGGTCTTGTCTTTGTTGACCTTTAGACCAACTTCCTTGGCTCCGTTTTCAAATAGGGTGAGAACTTCTTTTGAATCTCTGGTGGATTGTGCAATTGTGTCCACTTCATCCGCAAACGATAATAGTAATTTTGATCCTTGGGTGGTAAATCCGTTTGTCAGTTTTTTCCGTTAACTACAAACGCACATCCAAATTCGTGCCTTTCTTCTTCTCCTCACCAGAAAATCGGGGAATTTTCCATTTGCAGGTTTCCCGATACTGTCCATCTCATTTCCTGAATCGCTGTTACGTCCATCTTATATTTTTGAAGCTGTTTTATGGCATGTGTTGTAATTCCGGGCCTGAACCAGCTTAACTCACCGTGCCTTAGAGAATGTCCTTATTTCATAGCTTGGGTCTAATCCGTGTTCCATGTCTATTCCAAGGCAATAGTATCCGATTCGTAGCAACTTTCTTTTCCATGTACGGATTGCTGGTCCATAGCAAAACCCCCTTTTCGGAGGACCATTTCTCTCTTCTTGTCTGCCCCGACTCTGTCTTTCACTGGGGTTGGTTACCTAATCTCCAGCAGGATTGCTCAGGTTCTCCGGGGTTCGCCCGTGCAGCCCCAGCCACACTTGTATTGCGCCTTACTACCTCTTTTAAACCCCTTCTAACGCTAATAATAAATCTTCAAGAAAAATCTTCTAACGCTTACAATAAAACACTATAAATTTATAATGTTTATTTATGTTCTAATATATTTATTATACTAACTTCCTAAATTCTAATTGTCCCATGTATATTTTGCCTCAATCCTCGAAATGCTTCAGAACCCAATGGAATTGTCTCGGTGTTAGGACAGCAACTTGTCGTAACAATATTTTTTCTGTTATCTATTGATAATGCGCCATAATTTTTAAAAGATTTAGTTTACTTGTGGAATTGTCCTTTATTAACTTAAGAAGAAAGAGTATTAAAAGTTTTGTTTTTTTTAGGATTTTACCTGTTTTTTTGCTTATTGGAACTAACATATCGACAGGCGAAAATAACAAGCTTATCAGCAATATCTATACGTGAGAAACGAATTAGAAATATGGAAGAACTTGCATATTCTGACATTCCATTTAAAACTTTCGCTGGATATGTGCCGGTGATCCCATCCGACAGTCCATTACAAGAAAAAATCGACTACCTCGCTGAAACAGAAGAAAATTATAAAAATTTAAGTGTTATAGCTTACCAACAAGGTTTTTCAACTATTTGGGGGGAAGTTGGATTCATTGTACACCCCTTTCTTGCTGAAGAAATGGATAATTTTCATTTGTTGATGATTCAGTATGGATTTTACATACCCGACCGTCATATATTTTACGAAAACTTCCAATATTCGATGAAGAAAGTTTTAGAGTGCGGGTTTTTGGAAAGATTAATAAATAAATATAAACATTATTTTATGCTTCAAGACATACATTCTTTTAAAAGTGTAGATACAACTGTCAAAAGAGACTTAGCCAGCTGTATGTTCATGTTTATCGTACTCTTCGCTGGATATTTCGTTTCATTGATAATGTTTGGTGTAGAATTGCTTAAGGCGGGGAAATGTAATTTGCCCGCAAAATTCAAAATCAAGGAAAAGTGGTATATGGATTACTTTAGAAAAAGAAATAAAAATGTTGCGTGAACACAGCATCCAAATTTAAAAACAAATGTGAAATACAATAATTTTCCATGTTTAATTTTTGTTTTTTGATTTAAATAAACATGAAATAAAATTTTTTTCTTCGTTTTGATTCATTCATTTCATAAATATTATACCATTCCTTGAATCTTAAAACTGCTTTTCAGGTCATAAAAGCCTTACGTCATAATTGTGATCCTAGTTATTATCTCTTTATCAGAGTCACAATTTACATTTAACCAGCTGCCGAGGTATTTAAATTGGTTTACAACGTTCGATCTCCTCTCCAATAATTAAAGCTCTAATAGCGGCTAAAGATGGCTCAACAAAATATTACCATTTAATTGTTGTTATTTCTGTTGTCTTTCAAGAGTCAATAAATACATATTTGTTCGTTAATAATGATGTTTTATTTGTGATAAATTATGGACAATTAAATGGAAACAACATATTATACATTATATCTGGTACATACAAAAGAACCTTTAAGAAAGATTTAGTACCTAATGTACTAAATCTGTGCGTCTAATAATTGTGCGCATAATAATCTAATATATATTGCTGTAGTTTTTAAATTGACATGAGAAGTTAAAAGCCTATATTAATATTTTTTAAATAATAACTTTTATATTTCTCAACCACGAGCATATAAGTTTTGGAACACCCTGTATAAGACAAAATTGTGTACAAATAATTATATTTAGTTTTAAGAAAGTTTATTCGCGGAATTGTGTATTAACCCCAGAAACAATAAAGACCACATTAGAGAATAGGTAATTTAGATAAGAAAATTGTGGTTTGAACTAAGTACCCAAAGCCGAGGTCGAGGGTAAATCTGACTTTTAAATAAATACAGTTAATAGACATTATCGGTAGTTAAATTATACCTGGATATTATTATTTGTAGAGATAGAAAAAATACGTTTGATGTTTAGATTAGGATTAAGATAGCTGGAAATTTTGTTTTTTTTTTAATCCCTAATGGCTTTTTTGAAAAGAGAAAATAGTTTGGTAGAAACTGGTAGAACTGGAGAAGGAGTGAGAATGAATGAAAAGAAAAGGCGGTCTGTTTTGTTCGATTGAAAGAGATAGTCCTGTTTGATGGTTAGTGTACCAAAAAAAAAGGAGATTGCCGGTTTTTGTTTGTCCAAAAGTGACCAGTGTGAGATAATTGGAACGAAGAATTAGGTCAAGTTGAGAGATAATACAACTCCTTGAATCTAAAGCATAGAGGAATCGTTAAGTACTGTAAAAGGCGGGAATACTGCAGCAGGAGAAAGCCGGGACGAGTGCAGGTACGAGGCATAGCAGGAAAAGGAATACGAGGTGACAGCAAGCAATGACATACTACAAGCAACTACAGAGAATTGTTTTTGGTATGAGGACATTTTCGAAGCTACAGTGAAAAGGTCAGTCTTAATGTGTTATGACAGAAATGAATGGTTTTGCATATTAAATACCACAGTGCATATTAAAATAAACATGCAATATTATATATTTTTTTTAAATCTCAAGAAAAAGTTATCATTTAGACATCATTATAATTTATTTTATCCGAAATATTGATAAATCAAAATATTTCATATCAAACTAATTTGGGTCACAAAATAAAACAAGATTCATAGTTTTAATACTGGTTACACACAATAAAAGGTAAAGGAGTCATTGATAAAACTTACATGATTGAACATTGATTACAAATTGATAAATAAACGAATTTTGTTATTTCAGCTTTGAAATTCCTGTGTTTAATTTATGTCGTTTTTACCTAATCTTTTATTAGGAAGCCACTAAGAAATCTTTTTTGAACCTACGAAACAAAGTAAGTATTATACTAAAATTATTAATTAGCTCTATATAATTTATAAATTTTTTGTTTTGATTTTGATTAATTAGATAGTTAGTAAATGAAATAATTGGAGTGAATTATTTTCACAAGTAAAAATAGAATCAAAAATAGAGCACAACAATATATAGGATTAATTGCAAGAATAAGGATTAAAAGTTTCTCTTAACCTCGGTCCTAAATCGTGGGAAGACCATTGCAAAATAATCTAAGTATAATTTGTTGGACACGCGTTTATTAATCCTCCCATCGAAATTAATTAGGGTTTTAGAAGTGACAATAGATCGGATTAAAGATAAAGAATTCAGAGGGTTATTTGAAGGGTGACTTCCGTCAGCGATCTTCTGAAGGGACGAGCAGATAAGAGGCAAGCGATACCAGTTAAGTTAGAGATTTGCATTTATTTCATTAATTATTTATTCGTTAAAAAAAACATTTAGGATTTGTGAATAGTTGGTAATATCCAGGAGAGGTAGGATAGACAAATAAAACAAGGAAATCGGAACAAAGACAAGAAAATTTTCATAACTATTCATATTGTTTTAAATGGGAGATATGTATTTCTATAAATAATTTCCTATCCATGACCTTTTTTTTGTTTCAAGACTATGATATCTGTGTCTAATTTTTCAAGTTCTGGTAGTATTCTAATAGTCCTCATAGATATCGTTGTTTCCGTCCAAATCCCGAGGTTTGTTGGATTTTTTTTGCATAATGATTTTTTCCGAGTATCAAGTTAGCAGGCCTGGCGCCTCAACCCCCAATTCTTCGGAAAACCATTGCTTGCTGATTAAAATCATTTCCACATTCAATCTAGGGTCTTTATCAGTAAATCCAACCAGTGACTGCGGATCCATATTGGGAGGGAAATGATAGGTTTGGATATGGACTCAGAGTAGGACAATTATATCCCCTGTATAGAGACAAACCAATGCTCGCGTGGACAAGGTGCATCCCTGTAGTAGATCTGTCGGTAATAGGCAGTTCCTATAAATTGTTTTTCTGATTTACAGTGATAGGTATGGTTACTTTTAAGTTTTCCTTAATATAATATAGTTATTTATCTTTTAAGGTAACATTTAACATATGGATTTTAGTTTTTTATTGAGTTTTATTGAGTAAGACCACTACTATGAATCGGTGGTTATGGTTTTAGCTGAAATACGGTTAATCCAGTAATAGTAGTAGTAGTGTTATACTCGGCCGGAAGATGCCAATGTGTCTTGCTCCGTGACATTAGATGTCTAAAAATGATTTCTCCTACCGCTGTATGCCAGAATTCAATGGATACCTTTACCTTTAAGGCTGTTGTTGGAGTCTGGCAATACGGCAATTAAAAAAAATGTCACAGCGCTAATAACCTTCGGGTGGATGTGACTTTGTTCCTTACATCAAAATTTTTTTCGATAAACACGTGATAAAATCCTACCACCTCTTCATAAAATATAAAACTTCTTGGTATATTATAAAAGAGGTTGAAAGAGCAGTAAAAGAAAGAAAACTAAAATTTTATTGTTTAAACGTGCTTTTATTTCAAGTAGAAGATACAAATATTTTTATTTAAAATTAAATGTAACACTTTTTAAACTGCACATCAACCCTCTGTGGCTCAGTGGTAAGAGCGCCTACCTTTAAACCTAAAGGTCGTGAGTTCGAATCTCACCTGGGTGGAAATTTTCGTTTATTAAAAAAATTAATAAATGAAAATAATTTCTATCCTTGTGTGATCGGTACACACCGGAGGGACCGCAGACGTTCGGATACAATTAGCGTCTCTTAGAAAAGACAATGACGTCGACTTTGCTAAGTATCAAGACAATTACTCTACGCACACAAACACACACTACATTAATAAACTTATCCTGATTGAGACCTGCTGAATAACAATTGTCCAAACCAAAACACACAAAAAAAAACTGCACATCAAACATCTAACAACAAACATCGAATTTAATTTTCAGCAATGCTTCTAGATCTTGTTCGGATCAGGCATACCATCATTTTTATTTTTCCTTCTAAAACTGTCTATAAAACGTTTACCTGAAATTTTTAGTGTTGTCAATGGACTGTATTCTCTTGCAACAAGCATTTCAATCCCAAATACAACCAGTGAAATACAATATCCAGCAAATAATACGATAAACATGAACATGCAGCTATTTAAATCCCTTTTCACGCTTGTATCATGACTTAAATAAGCATGTTTATATTTAAACATGAAAAAGGTTTTGTATTTCCTGTATAAAGCTTCCAAAAATCCACATTCTATAACTCTTCGAATCGATATAACAAACTCCTCGTAGAATATGTTGTTGTCCGGTATGTAAAATCCATACTGGTATGGTTCCACATTGAAATAGTCCATTGTTTCAGACAAAAAAGGGCGGTTGATGAACCCAATTTTTCCCCACATAGTTGCAAAACCTTCTCGAGAAGCCGCCACTACTACGTTGTCTAAATCTGTTTTAGAGTCAGGAAAGACTTCAGTTTTTTTCAATAAAGGACTGTCCTTCGGAAAGCTCAATGTATTACTAGCATACATCTTAACGGGAATATTGGAATTTATCAGATCGTCCATATTTCTTATTCGTTTTTCGTATAATGCCAATGGAGAAAAGCTTGTCATTTTAGCTTGTCGGTAGGTTAGTTCTAATAGACAGAAGAACATATAGAATCCTAAAAAGAATAAAAAATTTATTATATGTTTACAATATCACTAAAAATATAAAGTTGACTTCAACTGTATGAAGACTCTGAATTGCAAATTGTCTTTTATTTTAATGTAATAGGTAAGCAAAGCCTTTATGAGATATCCAATGGCAATGGCATCAGACTAATAAATCTAGCAACTTCCCAAAGAGTCTCTGGGTCTACAAAAAAAGCTCAGATCAACTGAAGGACAGTGGTTCCATGAAGAGTGTAGTAACATAACAGAGAGCAAAAATAATGCATATCAACGACTACAACAACGACATGTAACACGAAAGGCAGAGGAGGAATATAGAATGCTAAGGAGGGAAGAGAAGGAAATATATTGCAGAAAGAAAAGAGAACACATAGAAAAAGAACTCCAAGAACTGGAAGAAGAACTAAATAAACCATTAGGAAGTAGAAAATTCTACCAAAAACTTAACAAAAGTAGAAAAGAATTTAAACCAAGAACAATGATGTGCAGAGACAAAGAAGGAGATACAGTAACTCAACAGAGATCCACTATATGATGGAATTATACTAGATCAAACGGATATCAGAGAAACAACACAAACAGCATGCCACAAGACTGGAATACCGGAGTTATTATCCCGCTACATAAAAAGGGAGATCAGCTTCAATGTAAAAACTACCGGGCAATAACGCTACTAACTGTGACATATACAATACTGTCAAATATTGTGTATGACCGATTGAGACCATATGCGGAACAAATATTTGGGGGATATCAATGTGGTTTCTGTAGGCAGAAGTCCACAATAGATCAGATCTTCGTCTTAAGGCAAATCCTGGAAAAGACTATTGAATTTAATATAGACACATATTATTTAATATAGACACACCTAGAATACATGACTCGAAAATTAATCGAAGAATACAAAAAATGGGGATTAGAAGTCAACATAGCTAAAACAATGTACATGAACATCGGTGGTAAAGAACAAAATCTAGTTTTAAACGACGGACAACACATTAAGTACAACAATAAATATTCCTATTTAGGAGTAGAAATCACAGACGACGGCAAATCAGATCAGGCTATAAAAAAACGAAACACTCAGGGTAGAAGGGCCATATCTTAACTAAATAGTATTATCTGGGATCAACATATATCCAAAAAAAATAAACATCGAATATACAACACTATTATAAAGAGCATAGTAATGTATGGAAGTGACGTGTGGCAGTTAAAGGCAACTACTGAAAGAACACTACAAGCCACGGAGATGGACTACTGGAGACGGGCCGCAGGAAAATCAAAACACGAAAGAATTAATAACGAACGTATACGAGAGGTTATGGGAGTCACACATACGATTGTCGAAGATATAAGAGTACAACAACTAAAGTGGTATGGACATGTGCAGAGAATGCCAGAACATCGTCTGCCCAAACAGATTATAGATTGGTCACCACATGGTAAGAGAAAAAGAGGCCGACCCAGAAAGAGCTGGAGAGAAGGAATAGACAGAGAGATCCGAGAGAGAGGTTTAGACGAAGATCTTTGGGAAGATAGAGATGCATGGAGATTGGGCATCGGAAGACGTCGGAGGACGTTTTAAACCGATTTATATATATATATATATATATATATATATATATATATATATATATATATATATATATATATATAGAGTGTGTGTAACGACGCTAAGAATACAATTCTTTGGAGGGTAACTTTCGGGAAAGCGTCAAAACAAGGATCAGCTAGAGATGTTATAAGCCAGCTTGGTGTAGAACTTTATTCTATATGTGAAATTTTCGGTGATATGTTGTCACCTTCATCAGCACCTAAATGGAAAACCTATTATAGTACAGTGGTGGAAATCAACATTTAAAAACCTACATTGAAAATGTTCAGTTGGTCCTAGTTGTAAAAGATATATATATATATATATATATATATATATATATATATATATATATATATATTATCTTTTTACGAAATAAAAACCAAATACATGAAGGCAAGCAAATCGACAGGCCAAAGAAACCTACAGAATCTGACAATGGGAGACTATAATATTGAAAGCGTGAAACATTTTACATATCTAGGTTCACTAGTTACCGCAGATATCAATGTCAGTGAAGAAAATAAGAAAAGAATACATATCGCTAATAAAACATATAATGGACTAATTAAACCATTGCCTATACGTACAATTGCTTTTATGATAAATGAAAGTTTTTGTGAATGAAAATTGAGTATTTTTTTCTAGTAATGCAGATAAAGTTTGAAAAAAATTATAATAAGAGAATGTAGTGTTTTAGCGAAATATAATTCAGACCGAATTAATATCTCAATATGTACACAGGAAGTTAAGGGAACTAAATTTGGCGATTTCAATGGCCATAACTACTATTAATGTTTGTAGACCACATTAATATCCAACAAAACGTCTTGAGTGGTACTTAATTTCTATGTTACTTACCTAATAAAATTCGTAAACTCCAAGAAACTGGAATTTTATTTGTGGCTTCACTCATATTAAGTCGAAGAATCAATAGAAGATTATTAAGAAACGACGATCCAAAATATCTTTTATCTTTGTGATTGGTTAAATTGGCAAATGCAAAGACTATAAGAGACAGTATTGTAATAATGGTATATAAACAACACCAAACAGAAAGGTGGTATACTAAGATATTGTATTTCCAATAAGGTATTTTTTTTGGTTTCGGTATTACCATCAATGCATTGTCGTCACTAAAAATTAAATTTATAAAGAAGTAAATTTATACAGTATGGATAAATATAAAATTAAGGAAAAAAAAGAACATTTTTCTATTAAACATGACCAGAAAGAAAAAAAGCACAGGGAATATGAAGAAAGGGGAACTGGAAAATGAGTTTAAATCGGTTTCGCAAAAATATGTAATCTACTTTTGAAAATGATACTAGGAAATAGTAATTTAGGAAGAATTAAAACCATTTTCAACAAGCGGCACCAATGTCTAGCTCTTGCAGATGATTTAACTGAGTAAGACAAATATATGGAACTTAATGAGAGTATTTAAAAATTAGAAAGCAAAGCAAAGAAGTAAATCAACATTAAAATAATTAAAATATATGATGATTGGAATGAGATGAAGAAAATGAAAATAAGAATGAGAATATATACGGAGCAACAGAAAGATGAAGCACTGCATATGTATGTGAGATCTGGATGCTCAAAAAAGCTTAGAAGAAGCTGTTAAAAAGATGGCAAAGTAAAATGCTGAGAAACATTTTGGGAAAGACAAAGAGACAACAGAGACAAAGAAGTAGAAATATCAAACACAAGAAGATGGAGAAGCATTATCGAAAACTTAAGTGACAAAAATTGTTTCAAGTAATAGAAATATAACTTTTGGCTCTACGCCTACAAGACGTATTGTGTGCTGTAAAATAAATGAGTTAAACAAACCTACATTGTGGACACAAAAAAAAACCTTATGGGTCAAATGAAGATTTAGAGTAAAGGCTAAATCAATTTTTCCAATGTCGAAATGTTCATACATTGCATCAAATCGGAATTCTCTAAGTTGGTCTAGGTAACAATCATCCTGATTAAACTGAAAGTTAAAGCTGCTTGAAGCACTGATTACTCTTAGTAGTTCTGTTACTATTCCAGGATATGAATCGCTAATGTTAAGAATCATGGGAGGAGTGAATGAAACACCTACTGTCAACGAGCATTGACTAAAACTCTTCTTCACGTTTGGTTTGATTGGTTTAACTTTACGCTTGAATTTCTTATTCTTGCAGCTGTTAATTTTCTTGTATTTTATTATCTTTCCGCAGTTACTATTTTTGTAATCAATAACGTACAATTCTACAATTACATCATTCTGTAACAGGATTAAACTCTTATAGAATCTGTACTTCCACAATAGCTTTGATATTTGAAGTAATTCTTCATGTTTTGTGGTAAGAACAATGAAATGCGACAAAATTGTTCTGAAAACTGTTTTTGCAGATAAATCAAAAAGAGTATCATTAAGTTCAACGAGGGACCCATAAGTTATCGTAAATAAATTTGGAGTACTACTGAAAGTGTCCAATACATTTAAATTGTTACTTTCTATAGCTATCTTTGAAAATGTGGGAACTAATGATAAAGTAACATTTGTACTTTTTATAAAAATATGCATATGATAGTCGACATCACGCGCAATTCTTTTAAGACAATACGATAAATGATCGTCTTTCAACAATGAAATATTTAGCATATTCACCTGCAGAGCAGATAACAGAATCACAAAAGTTACAACTCTCATCGTGAGCTATTTGAATAGTGAGCTTGTATAGAGCATTTGGATGTAATTTCAAATGTATTGCATTTATATGATTATTTTCCTATCTTCACGTAATTTAGAGAACATTTTTTAAATCAGCGCTGTTATCTTATATTAAAAATTGAAAATGTAATCCGTATGCACATTTACTTGATTGGAATAGACGTTAAAAATGCATTAACAAATAATCTAATATCAGAACAATAATTTTTTAATTTGTCTCGTTAAATTATTGAATTTTTCTGTCGTTTTTTCTTCTTATTTATTGTAGGGTATGATCTTGTTTAATCTACCCTTCTATATGTGTCGACATATCTCTATGATGATGGACATATCACCAGAGCTTTTTATTTTTTAAATAAAACGCCAACTAAATTAAGACTGGTTAAGTGTTATGTCTTCCCGGTCTTGTTCTATGGAGCAGAGACATGGACCACAACGGAAGCCACCCTGAAGAAACTAGAATCCTTTGAGTTATGGATATATCGTCGTATTCTTCGGATATCCTGGACAGACCACATCACTAACGTGGAAGTCATGCAGAGAATAGGCAAAAGCAAAGAAATAATATTCACCGTAAAGAAACGGAAGCTTGAGTACTGCGGACATGTCATGAGGCATACTAAGTACCGGCTGCTACAGTTGCAAGGAAGAATCGACAGTAGGAGGGGACCGGGAAGAAGCCGACACTCATGGATGCATAACCTGCGACAATGGTTCGGACTAACATCGACCGAACTGTTCAGAGGTGCCGTAAACAAAGTCAAAATAGCCTTGTTAATAGCCAACGTCCGAAACGGATAGGGCAAAGGAAGAAGAATATATATCCCGTTCATAGCGTAATCCGCCTTTGGGTTCCCGTTCGCCAAGCCTGTCTATTCTGCCAGTCTTCTTCAGATAGATGTCTTGCTGACACTGCATTTGAAATTCCTTGCATCCATGTTGTTGGTGGTCGTCCTCGTTTTCTTTTCTCTGCTGGTACCCATTCTAATATTTTTTTGGTAGTCTTTCTTCCCGCATACGTCCAACATGTCCGTACCATGTTAGTTGTTGTTTTTCGATGTCTTCTATAATTGATCCTTGTACATTCATTTGATTTCTTATATCCTCATTTCTCACATGTTCTAATCTAGACTTTCCCGCTGCTCTCCTCCAAAAATCCATTTCAACTGCCAATAGGTTACATTTAATTTTTTTCATTACTGCCATACTTCTGAGCCATAGACGATTACTAGTTTCAATATGATATTATATATTCTTTTTTCGTTTCCGGTCTTATATTTTTCTGCCATAGTACTGAATTCAATGCACCTGTCTTTTGTGTGCATCGCAGTTTTTTTTCCAACACCTGGCATAGGACGAATATCTGGTCTATGGTCGATGTCTGCCAACATCGAAGTACCCATGACCAAATTTGGACATACACAATGAAAGCGACCGTATCTTACGGCGCTCCACTGCAAAGTGGAATCCTCCCTCTTAAAAATTATTTTATTGTCCTCATAAGCAGAAAGATTTATTTTCTGTGTAAATATCTAGGCGTAATCCAGATAAAATGAATGTGCAAGTTGTTTATTATAAACAGACTACAAAAATGTTTAGATTATCAATGTCAGAGACGCAAATAGATTGAGAATATTTTTCGGTGTTTTATGATATACGGGGCGAAACGAAAATGCTACAGACTCTAGTAAATTAATTACAAACGATTTTTTTCGTTGGTGTTAATGGTGACTGCCGATGCAGATAGCTTGTTTACAACAATTGATGTAGGTAATTTGGAACGAAATCTCAGTATTTAAATCATCTTTTATCGGAAAAATGTAATAAAAACACAAACTCGAAATTCTTGAACCCTCGCATTTACCAGAAAATCCTACTAGCGAGCCGTTTCCTTTTTATATATGTGGTGATGAAGCTTTTCTGTTATTATCATATTTTATGATGCCTCATCCTCAAACAATTTTGAACTTTAATCCCACAACATCAATTAGGTTTAATTTCATTTAAAATATGTAAATATCCTTTAATATTTGATCACATGATTGCAATATCAGTAGGCCAATCATATATTCCAAATGATTAAATTGAAACCTGATTTGCCTCATTATATATAACGCGATAGAGCTTATGGAACATTATAGATCATATACTGATAAAACAATAATCAAAGAATTGTAATTTATATAAACCTCACATCAGAATTATTTAATATACATACGCACTTTGTGTGTAATAGATACGAACAAAATGTGTATTATACTATTCACAATGCTAGGATTATCCTTACAGATTAATTCATTAAGTATTTCATTATTAGAGGAAGATATCTTTACCGAATGCCTCCCACAAGTTGTTGAAGATTGTACTTATCACACACACATTTTAATAATAAATGGAAACTTTACAGAAAATTTTATGCCTAGATTTTCAAAAATAAGTTTAGACTCTAACAATTTAAATTTACTTCACTCTTTCAATAGTGCACCAAATTTGTTCACAATATCTTACAGTTCCTTAGATGAGTTAAACACAACTCTTCTCGATATATTTACAGAAAGAAAAGTGACCAGAGTTTTGTCACATTTCATTATTCTAACTGCAGATCCGTTAGATTTATTTCAAATATCGCAGTTGCTGTGGAAGTATAATTTTTATAAGAGTCTGATTCTACTTAAAAATGGTTCAATTGTAGAACTGTATGTGATCGATTACACCAATAGTAACTGCGGAAAAATAATAACATATAAGAAAATAAACGAATGTAAAGACAACAGGTACAAACATAAATTAAAATCAATCAAACCTGATATGAAACAAAGTTTTAATCAGTGCTCTTTGATGGTTGGTGTTTCGTATTCAACTCCACTGATCAACTATGTCAACGATTCACTTCCTGGAATAATACCAGAACTACTAACAATAGTCAGTACATCAAGCGGCTATAGATTTGATTTTTATCAGGACGATTGTTACTTAGACGAAGTTAAAGAATACAGAATTGATTCCCTACTTAAAGATTCCGATAGTGGCAAAATAGATATGCTCTTTATATCGAATTATGTCTCCTACCAGAAGTTCTTTTTTGTACCAGCAATGTAAGATTATAAATAACAATTATTAAACGAATGAACCTTTTTTACATTATAGAAAAATTTGCCTTCTTTAAAGTTGACGATCCCGTTTTCATATTTATTTTAAATAAGAATTTTATCTATTTTGTCTATTCATATTTATTTTATCTATGAACAAAGAATACTAATTTTTTTAATTAATAGTCCGGTCAGTATCATCATCATCATCATCCAGCCTTTTGCGTCCAAATTTAAACACAGACATCCGCTAATTTCTTTCAGTTCTGTTGGTCTTGAGCTTCTTGCATCCAGTTCCCATTTTTGAACTCCTCTGTCCATCGTGTAGGTGATTTACCTTTACTTCTCCTGTCTGCTCGTGGTTTTGATACTGTAATTTTGTACCTGACACTGTAGACCAAATTTATGATAGTATCAAGGAGTCCAATAAATAATGAACAACTAACCCTTGGCAAATAGGGAGAGTGACAAAATATAAATATCTGAGTGCTTACATCAACACAGAATTAGATCCAGACCAAGAGATCAGGGTACGAATAGAAATGGCAAGGGCAGCTTTCTTAAAATTCAAGCAGTTGTTCTGTGACAAAAATCTGTATTTCAGGCATCGTGTATTTCAGTTATTTGGAATCTCAAAGTTTTGATACAATTAATTCGACTTTCCCAGCGAGTTTCACATAAAGATTTTAAAGAAAAAACCAATAAACGTCTTACACTATCAAAAAAAGTGTTGATTGTGTGGAAGATATAGCTGCAACACCAATGAATAAATTGAGAAAGTGTTATAAGTACGAGAATAATCTTTACACATACGAGCTAGAACACTTTTATTTTTTCCCTTCATATTAGAGCCTTTGTCATATCCTTGACCTCTACAATAATCTAAGTTCTATTGAAAATCACTCAATACTTGTTTTATTATCTTATATCATGAGTAGTCTGTTGATTTAAACTAGTGGCTTCTAAAAACTTCAAGTTTCTCATTCTTCTTAAAACTTTCGGTTTATATAACGCTGCTGTCTTCTGCAGGAGCGTTATTTCTTTTTATTTTCTTCACTGCGTTTATTATTTTGTCTGTTGATAAAGGTAGCTTTAGTGAGCTATAAATAATATTTTTAGTTTTAGATAAATATTGTATAATTAGTTTATTAACCACATAATTTTCAGATACGACCCTGCAATCATATTAGTACCAAAACCAAAACAATTGCCTTATTGGAAAAACAATGTCTTGGCATACCAACTTCCCGTATGGTGTTGTATATATGCAATGATTCCATTACTGTCCATTATAGTTCTGGGATATGCAAAACTAATCCAAACCGAAGACACAAGATATTTTGGATCATCTTTTATAAATAATATTTTAATGGTTCTTGGTCTTAGCTTAAATATGCCAGCAAGGTATATACCAGTAACGTGGAATTTAAGAATTTTATTAGGTGAGTAAAATTCAAGTGGACAGACTAGACTTTTCAAAACGAGTAAGGAAAATGTAGGTTTTATGTTATTAGTTATATTTGTACTAGACTTTAGTATGTAAGTTTCCATTTAGTTGATGGTTCCATTTTACACTTTATTTTAATGGATGTTACTGAGTTACTGCTATTCCTATATAACAAAATATGCAATTATATGTTCTTAAATCTCCAAGTATATGCATAAGAAACTTAAATATATGAAAAACCTGGAAAAATTGCAATATGGAAAACCAAGACAATGCAGAAGTTAGAATGGCGACCTATTAACAACAAGGAAAGATGTATTAAATAGATGGGGGAATACTTTGACCAGGCACTTAATATGAACGAAGAAGAATAAAACCTGGAAGACGAAAGAGATGAGGTAAGAGAAGAAGATTAGAGGAAAGAGGAACCACCAACAATTCTTGAAGTTAAAGATGCAGTTAAAAAACTAGCCAGAAACAAATCACCTGGAATAGATAATCCCCAGCTAAACTATATAAAGAAGGTGTTCATGATACCATAATGGCATTAGAGCAGCTTATAAAAGAAATATGGACACAGAAATCCCTCCCCAATGATTGGAATATTGGAATACATTGCACCATATACAAGAAAGGAGATATCTTTGAATGCTCTAACCACAGAGGAATTACGCTTCTAAATGCAGAGTATAAAATATTTTCCACGCTACTATGTCACCGTATGCACAACAGATAGAAGAAAAACACCAGGCCGTTTTCAGAGGTAGTAAATCGACAACTCAAGTTGAATGTAGAGTACGAATTCAAGGGGAACTGTCTAAACCTTTTAATACAAATAACGGGTTGCATCAGGGAGACCCTTTCTCCTATATACTATTCAATCTGGCTCTGGAAGGTTCCAAATCACATTCAGTGGTTCAATTTAAAAAAAAATGAGTCCAAATTCTAAAGACAAAAAACATAGACCATAGGGACGAATAATAACAAACCTCTACTGGAATCAAAGAGCACAAATCGTAATAGATAACGAACCCAGTCCAGAAATTGAAATCAGGAGCGAAGTTAGGCAGGGATGTATTATGTCCCCATTACTATTTAACGTATATAGTGAAGCCATTTTTGAAGAAGCATTACTATCTCAAAGTGAAGGAATAATAATTAATGGAAGATCTATTAACAACATAAGATATGCAGATGATACCATGATTATGGCAAGCTCTGCTGAACAACTCCAATTACTGCTAAACAAAACAAACAGGTTCTGTGAAAAATATGGACTAAAAATGAATATAAAAAAGACCAAATACATGACAATAACAAAGAAAAAAAATATACTAACAAACATACATTTGGGAAATGCAATAATAGAAAGGGTTGATAAATGCAAATACCTAGGAACCTGGATTTCAGACAATAATGATCAAACAACCGAAATAAGGGCTACGATAGAAATAGCAAGAAATGCGTTTGTAAAAATGAAAACAATTCTCTGCAACAAAGATTTTAGATTAGAACTGAGAATAAGAGCACTGAGATGCTATGTGTTTTCGATACTGCAATATGGACTTGAAAATTGGACATTGAAGCAAGAACACATAAATAAGTTACAGTCCTTTGAAATGTGGTGTTACAGGAGGATGTCTAGAATAGTGTTATATTTTTTATAGTTCTAATTTATTGTCTTTATTCTAATTTATTAAAACTCACGATAATTTATTATCAATTTATTAAATAACTGTACAACTATTTATTATTTATTATTATTTATTTATGTACAACGTTCGTACATTTAAATACGCGAGCCCCGAATTTATTTTCTTACTGACTGCTCAATAAAATCCATGGTATTTATATATAAAATGCCGTTATCTCGAAAAGTCTGGGGATGCACCGATGACGTTACATCCAGTAGGTGACTCATCCAGCAGGTCTCGAAAAGTCAATCGCATTCTGATAAATTCAGAGAGTCGTCGCCGACGGCATTCTCAGTACCTGAACTGGTTATCCGACCCTTTTGTAGAATTCGGTAGTATCTGACCTAGAACATTCGTGAATGAGTAAATATATTTACAGTTTTTATACGTCATAATGTTTATTATTGTAACAATAGCATGGACACCGACGAAAACTAACACGGAAGTATTGCGCGAAACGGGCAAAGAATGCGAAATAATAAACACATTAAAAATAAGAAAGTTACAATATCTGGGACACGTAATGAGGGGACAGCGATATGAACTGCTAAGGCTAATAACACAGGGAAAGATAAGAGGAGAAAGGAGTGTAGGAAGAAGGAGAGTGTCACGGTTGAAGAATTTAAGGGACTAGTTTAAATGCAGTTCTATAGAGCTCGTTAGAGCAGCAGTAGTTAAAGTAAAGATAGTGATGTGTTTAATTTTTAATAAAATTTATAATAAAAGTGCCACTGTTAAGAATTCACTATATGTTTATATCTTTTTAGGTTTTTACATGTTTTTTTGCTTACTGGAATTGACATATCGTCAAGCGAAAATCACAAGCTTATCAGCATTATCTGTATACGAGAAACGAGTTAGAAATATGGAAGACCTTATAGACTCCGATATTCCATTTAAAAGTTTCGCTGCTGGTTTGATCTTATTTCAATCAAACAAGCGATTAATAAGCAAGATTCAGGTTCTTTCTGAATCAGAAGAGGAGTTCAAAGGTTTAGGTATTAGAGCCTTTCAACAACGTTTTGCGACTCTCTGGGGGGAAATTGGATTCGTTGTACAACCTTTCCTATGTGAAGTAATGGATCATTTTCCTTTGTTTGTGATTCGGTTTGGGTTTTACATCCCAGATCGTCATATATTTTATGAACACTTCGAGTTGTCGATGAAAAAAGTTATAGAATTTGGGTTTTTGGAATCGATCATACAAAAATATAAACATTTTTACATGCTCAAGCACGGAAATACTTATTCAAGTAAAGATAAGAATCTTAAACGAGATTTAACAAGTTGTATGTTTATGTTTATTGTTTTGTTTGCTGGATATTTTATTTCATTTATAGTGTTTGCAATCGAATTGCTGGTGGCGCACAAATGCAATTATACTCATCAATTGTAGTCAAAGTCAAAATATGCAGCTAGATTTGGAAGAAATATTTAAATATATGTGAACAAAAATGTATCAATAAATACATAAAACTTGTTTTAATTTCCTGTTTTTTAACACAGTTACCTTAGAAGTGAAATTTTAGACAATTTTCCTATGCAAATAATTTGTAACACACACATACACATTGAGAGGACCTGTACAATTCATGTCATATACAGCTGCGTTCACTGAATAGTTTACACCTACAATTTCAAATTGTAGTAGGTACTGTATAATACCTATCTATAAAACAATCTCTCAATATGAATTTGTGAAAGACAGAGTATCTTAAAATAGGAGATGATGAAGAAGATCCAGAGTTAGAAATTAGAAACACAAAAACATGCAAGGAATATAAATATCTCGGATCTATAATATCTAAAGAAGGTGCGACCAAAAGAGACTGAAAACAAAACGCAACAGGGAAAAAAGCGGTTAACATTCTAAACTCTCTACTATGGTGTAAAGATATTAAACAAGAAACGAAATTGACTATCTATCGAACCTTAATAGAGCCTATTATGACTTATGGGGCAGAAGTTTGGCAGATCACGAAAAAAGATTGGAAAATAATAGAAGCGGTAGAAATGAATTTTCTAAGGAGAGCGTGTGGTGTATCCAAAAAAGATCATATCAGGAATGAAGATATTAGAAGGAGGACAAATACTGTATATTCCAGTGTAGACAGAATTGAAACGAGACAACTAGTGTGGTATGGTCACGTGAAGCGAATGAATGAAGATAGATGGCCAAAGAAAGCTTTAAATTACATACCACAACAAAGAAGAAGGGGAAGGCCTTCAGTTGCCTGGGAAGAAAATGTACGACACATAATGAGAGATAGAGCCATCAAAGAAGACGAATAGTTGGACAGAAAACGATGGCGGTCGAAATGCGAGAGGCGGCAGAGGCTGTAGGAACCTCGCAATATTATATATATATATATATATATATATATATATATATATATATATATATATATATATATATATATTGTTATGATTGTTTATTTTTACTTTGACTGATTCACTTCTCCAAAACCTCAGCTACTTATTAATGACACAAGGACTTCCTTTTGTCAACTTGATGCCGTAAAACTACTTTCACCTATTTTCACAAAATGCCCACGGTAGATACAAGGACCTCTTTTAATCTACTTGTTATCTCCTTCTGCAAAACTATTCAATTCTTTTCACAATGCCGGTATCCAACTCACGAACCACACCCTATCTTGAGACAAACGACTGTTTCCTTCGATGACCAAATTATAACTAACCTCTCCGGTCCTCCTAATCGGCTCACAAATTCCCATTCAAAAAACTACCGTCCAATCAAAAGTTCTAATTGTGTTTACCATGATTTTAGAAAAGCCTAATTTCTGTTTCAGAGAAAAACTAAATAGCTTACTTTAAAATTGGTTTTGTCAATACACAATTTATACATATTTCAAAAGATTAGAATATGGTCATTTAATACTCAATTATACAAACAATGAAAAGAATAACTAACAGGTAAAATGTCTTCTAATTCTAAACAAAGGGGTTTTTTTGATAATTTTGTTGGAAACGGAAAAGGTCGTTTCTATTCTTATCTACACTAAATCTTATCTTAAATTACTATATACAATTTGTATATACTGCATTAATTAACGCATAATTTTAAAAACATTAGTATATTTGGTATATTATAAAATTTATCGAAAGAACGGTAAAAAACGCTCATGTTTTTACCATTTTATTCCATTTTATACCATTCATTTTATTTCGAATTTAGTTGTGTTTAATTACGTTGTGCTGAACGTTTTAAAGGGTTTTTCAAGTTTATTAAGTGTTTTTTCTTTGACATTAACCACCAGCCGCAAGAAAAGCGAAACTTGTCAGCCACACACGGCAAGAATTGTGCAGCAGTATGGTCAGGAGGTTGGAATTTCTACCATGGAGTGGCCTGCGAGAAGTCCTGACCTCAACTCAATAGAACATGTTTGGCACATCATAGGCAGACGACTACGACAACTACCTAATGCACCAAACACATTAGTTGAACTGTTTTTGCGGTTGGTTAAAATGTGGGATCAAATTGATCAAGAAGAAATCAGAACGATTATTCTCAGTATGAGACATCGTTGACAAGCAGTAAGAAATGCCAGAGGAGGCAATACTCGATACTAGTTCAGGGTACTTGTATTTTCTTCAACTTTAAAAATTTTAATTTCGTCATTAATTTATTATTAGGAATTTTAAAATTATGCGTTAATTTTGGAGCGCAGTGTATTTAAGTGAGTAAAAATTTTGTAATTAGTGCGATTTCAAATAATTTAATTTGTTTAATATTGCAACGCCGCTGCATGGGCCTCATCATAGATATTCTATTGTCTGCGTCTTTAATATTTCGTGGAACGGCTCGCCACTCGATTTGAAATAAGCTGTAATAAAGGTTTAAAAATTATTTGTTTACATTTATTATACATTCCTTATATTGAAGTTGCTAATCATCCAAAAGAAGAAAGTGTATTATAAGGCCTGCTCTAATTACGTTTTTTTTTTCTATGGCTCGATGGCTATTAGATCAATATTAAAATTGGTCTTAATGTTTTTCGACATTAAATATAAACTGATAGTGCTGATTAAAATCTCTCTTATGAATCAAGTAGTGATAAAAAATAAATCGTACAAATGTAGTTTATATTAAGCTCATAACAGAATTGGTTAAAATAACTATGTACTTGTGAAATAACAATAAAATGTGTGTTATATTTTTAGCAGTCTTGATATTTCCTATACAAATTAAATCGTTAAATACTTCGTTAATAGAGAGAGATACATTGACAGAATGTTTCCAACAGATTGTTGAATACGCTAGTTATCATACACATATTTTTATAACAAGTGAAAATTTCACAGAAAACTTTATTCCGAGATTTTCAAAAATAAGCGTAGGAAGTAACAATTTATATTTATTGCACTCTTTCCGTGGTGCTCCCAATTTATTCACAATAACTTACAGTTCCTTAGATGAGTTAAATACAACTCTTCTTGATATATCTACAGAAAGAAAAGTGTCCAGAATTTTGTCACATTTCATTATTCTCACTACCAGCCTAGTTGATTTAACTGAAATATCGCATTTGCTGTGGAGCTACAGTTTTTACAAGAGTCTGATTCTACTTAAAAATGAATTACTTGTAGAACTGTACGTTATTGATTACAAAAATAGTAATTGCGGCAAAATAATAAAATACAAGAAAATAAATGAATGCAAAGACAGTAAATACAAACTTAAATTAAAACCAATCAAACCAAACATGAAACTAAGTTTTAGTCAATGTCCTCTAACTGTCGGTGTTTCATTTCTGACTCCAATGGTCAACTATGTTAACTATTCATTCCCTGGAATAATACCAGAACTACTAACAGTTGTCAGTACATCAAGTGGCTATAAATTCGATTTTTACCAAGACGAATGTTACTTAAACGAACTCAGAGATTTCAGATTTGATTCCTTGTTTGAACACTTCGATACTGGCAAAATAGATATGGTCTTTATCTCGAACTACTTCTTGGACCATAAATTATTTTTTGTGCCGACAATGTAAGATTATAAATTAACAAATACTTTATGAACCTCTTTACGATTTAATATTCTTTTCTGTTCCATTTTGTACCGGCTTATTCCTTATGTCATCATAGTGCCGTCTTAAATTTGGACGTCTTCTTTGTCTCTTGACGCCTCTTGGATACCACAGTGCAATTCTAGTAAATCATCTATTGTCAGTTCTTCTCGCTGAATGTTTTACACTTATTCTTCTTCGCTCTATCTTCTTCAATATGGAATAATTGTGCTGCATTTGGTATCTGAGTCCATTCACGAATGTTTTTTAACCAAGAAACTTGTTTTCTTCCTACACCTCTACGGCCCTCTATTTTGCCTTTAAGGATCAGTTGTAAAATTTTATATCGACTCCCCCTTACTATATGTCCCAGATAAGACATTTTTCCATGTTTAAAAGTCTTTAGCAGTTCTCTATCTTTGTTGCCGCTCCTTAGTACTTCTTCATTAGTTTTTCTTGCTGTCCAAGGTATCTTCAGCATTCATCTATGAACCCACATTTCCAATGCTTCAATTTTGTTCATGATCGATACTTTTAGCGTCCACACTTCTGCACTATACAAAAAAACTTAACCACTCTTTGTCTTAGTTCTAAACTGAGATGATGATAATGACTTAATTTTCATAAAAGTAGTTTTAGTCATTGCTATTCTACGTTTTATTTCTTTGTCTGAATCTAGTTGGTCCGGTATCACATTTCCCAAATATGTCATTTTGTGAACTTTCTCAACTTGGACTTGCATCGGGATGTGGGTCACGACTAAACGCTAAAAATTTGGTTTTGTTTGAGTTTATTTTAATGCCCATTTCCTCTCCTACCTCGTGAATCCGATCAAGCAGAATTTGAAGACCTTTAATATTATCTGATAGAATTACTGTATCGTCTGCATATCTAATCACATTAAGTAGTTCTCCGTTGATTTTTATTCCATATGGTTATCTTTTGAGTGCCTTTTTAAATAACTGGTCCGAGTAAACATTGAACAATGTTGGCGACAAAATGCACCCTTGCCTGACTCCTCGTTGTATGGGGATTTCATCGGTGTAGTTATCTCCAATGCTTACGATAGCAGTTTGATTCCAGTACAAATTTTTAATTATCTATTCCGATATTTTTCAGTATTTGCATTAATTTTACATGCTCTACTTTATCGAATGCCTTTTCGAAGACGAAACAAGCAAATACATATTTTCTTTGGCACGGCATTTTTGTAATAGAATGTTAAGCGCAAAAAGTGCCTCCCTGGTTCCCATAGTATTTCTAAAATCAAATTGAGCATCTTCAAGATCTTCTTCGCATTTGCGTGTAATTCTGTTATGAAGTATTCTGAGGAAAATTTTAAGAGTGTGGCTCATTAGGCTAATTAATCGATAATCTGAGCATTTTCTTCCATTGTGTTTTTTAGGTATTGCGATAAAGATGGATTTGAGCCAATCTACGATAATCACTCCGGTGTTATATATTGAATTAAAAAGTCCTACTACTACTTTTATGTTATTATTCTCTATTAGTTTCAGCAACTCAGTTGGTGTATCATCTGGACCACAAGCTTTTCTAATTTTAGCATTATTTATAGCATGTTCTACTTCGCATTTCATAATTTCTGGGCCGCCAGTACAGTTTTGGTATAATTCGGCAATATTATTCCTGTCATCTTCAAACAACTCTGATATATACAGCTGCCATTCTTTTCTTATTTCTTGCTCATTTACAATATTTTTGTTATTCTTTTTCTTTCAGTTTTTTGTGCACATTAAATAAGTCGTGTTTAGATATTACATCCTCCATTTCGTCGCACCTTTCTCTCATCCATTTTTCTTTGGATAATTTTTTTTTATTACTTTTTTATTCTTCTCTGCAGATGTCTATATTCTGTTACATTAGATTTTATCAGTCGACGTTGTTCCATTAATTTCAAGTTGTCGTCTGTCATCCAGTTATTTTTCTTGATTAAGTTTTTTCTATAATCATTGTTAGTGGGGATTTCGTTAACTTGGTTTTTAAATTCACTCCATAGTTCTTCTGGATCTTCTAGTTGTTCTCCGACGTTTTTTATTCTATTGTTAAATTCTTTTTTAATGTTATGTTTTCTGTTTATATCGCCAAAGTTAAGTACATTGCTTTTTGGTTTTTGTCGCTGAATTCGTTTTAACCTTAGTTTAATATCTCCTACTAGTGGTTGTTGATCAGATCCAATATCTGCCCCAGGATATGTAGTGACTTTTTTGACGGCATTTCGGAAACGCTCGTTTACAAGTATATAGTCTATTTGATTTCTTGAAGTAGCTTGGGTAGTTTATGACAGGTGTTTGCAATGATCATATCGTTTTCTTTACAGAATTCATACAATCTATGTCCTCGATCGTTAGGTAGTCCTAAACCATAAGGACCTACAGTCTGACCTCGTCGACCTTCCCCAATTTTTGCATTGAAATCGCCTATAATATATAAAATTTCGTGTTTATTAAGTTTGTGTAAGATGTCTTGAATCTGATCATACAACTTCTTGACTTCATCGTCATATTTTCTATCTGCAGTCGGGGCATAGATTTGAAGTATGTTAGTTTTAAATGGTTGAGTATTTATTTGGAGTAATATTATTCTATCCGAGACTGGTACGAAATTGGTCACATACTTACTCAGTTCTGATGTTACTAATATACCTATTTATAAAATGTTCCTTTTTATCATATCTATATCAATTTCAGAGAGGATAATTCAATTTTTATACTACCGAAACCAAAACAGTTGCCTTATTGGAAAAACAATGTCCTGGCATACCAACTTCCCGTATGGTGTTGTATTTATGCCTTAATTCCATTACTATCTTTCATAGTCCTCGGACATGCAAAACTAATCCGTAGCTCAGATACAACATATTTTGGATCATCTTTAATAAATAATCTCTTACTGGTTCTTGGTCTTAGCTTAAATGTACCGGCAAACAAATTACCGGTTACTTGGAATCTAAGAATTTTATTAGGTAAGTAAGGACAAATAACTTTTTGAAGTAAGTATAGAATTCAATCAAATTAATAATAACAGTTAGCATGCGAAGTGAATTAAAATCTTGTGTGTTTTTAGGTTTCTATTCGTTTTTTTGCTTGCTGGAATTGACATATCGACAAGCGAAAGTAACAAGCTTATCAGCATTATCAATATATGAGAAACGAATTGAAAATGTGCAAGATCTTGCAGATTCCGATATTCCGTTTAAAATTTTTCCCGGTTATATGGTGTTTATCCCATCCCAGAGCCCATTACAAGAAAAAATCGAGTACCTCCCTGAATCAGAGGAAATGTATAAAAATTTAAGTGTTATAGCTTACCAACAAGGTTTTTCAGCTATTTGGGGAAAAGTTGGATTCATTGTACACCCTTTTCTGTATGAAGAAATGGATTATTTCGAGTTTGTAACGTATTATTTTGGCTTTTTTATGCCGGACCATCATATATTTTACGAACACTTCCAGTTATCTATCAAAACAGTTTCAGAATTTGGATTTTTGGAAAGATTATATAGGAAATATAAACACCTTTATATGCTTCAGGATACACATTCTGGTATTTACCAAAGTAAAGAAAACACTGTTAAAAGGGATTTAACAAGCTGTAGTTTTATGTTTATGGTATTGTTTACTGGATATTTTGTTTCGCTAATAGTATTTGGAATAGAATTTTTTATGACAGGAAAATATAATTTAGTCACAAGATGTAAAGATAAACAAATAAAACACAAATCTTTTTGGATAAAATATACTAAAAAGTGTACGTCAAAATGTGAAAACAATTGTTAGTGTAACATATTATCACTCGTATTTCAATTTTTATTTTTTTATTGTCTTCTTACTCTTCCAATAAGAAGACATTACATAACAGATGGTTCATGTAAACTTAGAAACTGTTTTTCTTTTAAACATTTCACAAACATCTCCATATTCATGTTATCGTGATAATCAGAAGAATAAGAATAGGTCACACTCGACTGACTCATGGTTACCTCATGAGTTCTGGAAATCCCCCAGTTTGTGAACAACACAACACACGCCTTTCCTTTTAGTATGTAATGCTTGAATGCAGTACTTTCAGTTCCATCCGACTACAGCAAAATGTTAGTGGTACCCTTAGTGATAATTTTTTTTTTGCTGGTAAATCTTCTAAAGACCGTACCAGGCCGTGTCCCGTTAAGGATGACCTGGCGTGTGTTGGATTCACGGTGGAAGGATCCATCCGCACGCAGTCCCCCAGAGGATTCGTGCTCACAGATACACCCATAGCTCCCTGCCTGCCAACTAAAGTCCACCCCCTTTATACAGGCTACTCATGCGGTAGGTCCTCTCCAGACCGGTGCATCACATGAATAGCCCGTCCCCTCTCTCTCTCTCTCTGTCTCTCTCTCTCTATTTCGCCCTCTCTCTCACTCTCTTACCTTTGCTGTAGATTCCTCTCTAATATCTCCTTCTTTCTGACAATTTGAGTTACTGCCTACAATATTGCCTTGTACTCAGTCTTTCCTCTCATTGCTACCTGCATTATGGTATTTGTACTTACCCTACCTAGCTTTCTGTATAATTTGTTTCTGTCCCCATCAAATCTTCTGCACTCGAATACACAGTGCTCGGCCGTGTCAGCCACTCCACAGTCTGTGCAGTTTCCATCCGCAACCTTCCCTATCCTTTCTAGATAGGCCTTGAAGGAGCCGTGTCCTGTTAGGAACTGGGTGAAAAAGTAATTGGTGTCTCTGTCCCCGCACTTTATCCAGTCTGCGATATTTGGAATTAATACCTACGTCCAGGTCGTTCTATACTCATTTGTCCATTCTTCCTGCCATTCCGTTAGGCTGCTATTCCTAGCAATTATTTTCTCCTGCTCATCTTTCCCGTAGGTTTCTGCCCTTTCCTTCACCATCAAGTGGATGGGTAACACACCCGCGATCACTTGTATGGCCACCGTTGATGTTGTTCTGTACGCACGTGCTACCCTTA